TTCTACACCATTTTACTTAAACTCTCCGAATATCTATTTATTTATTTATTTATTCTCCATTCGATATACAGTTATAAATACACAGCATAAAAAAAACTATACGTAAAAAGTACAGAAAAAGCTGAAAGTACATTTTAAAGAGACTTAAACTGTTAATTATCTAGTTAACTCATATTGAATTTCCATATATTTGGTGAAAATTTTTAGACAGTTTTCACTACTAAAGACAACATCAATATATTATTATTTTTGTTACACATTTGCTCATTTTTTTACAAATCACGTCAAAAGCAAGGTTTCCGCTGATTAATTTTGTATTCAATTTAATTATTTTACGGCTTAAAAATTAAAAATAGTAAAAATGGCTCACAGTCAGCCTAATTCTCAAAATAATTTAATAAATTTATTTTGCCAGGCAAAATTACAACTCATATTTGTATATCAATAAACGATAAAATATCTACAGAAATTTGAAGCTTCTGCAGGATAAAGCTTACAAATTAATTGATTGTTTACAACGTTTTGAAAGTTCCAGAAACGTATCGTCTGTCGGCTGCTATCGCTTTTCCAAATACGTCCTCAGGTAACTTTGCTTTAACAGGCGGAAAGCGTCCGTGAAAGCATTCAAAATATATCAGATGTCGTCGTCTTCTTTGTGAGCTCTTCGGAATTATTCAAGACACAAGAAGTCTTTGTCGAGGCCTCTCGAACTTGTGTCGCTTTTTTTTCTGCGTCGCGCGGTGAAAGAGATGAAATTCCACTTTTCGCATCAAAGCACCCCGCGCCGCGCGAGAAACGAAATTCGTTTAATATCGACTTCACCCACATTTTTTGAGCAGATCTTTATTTTCTGCGGCAAGTGGAGAGGGCGGGAGCGAAAGGAGCGTGTCTCGCTGTTGTTATTGGATGGATATCTAAAGCACTGTGGCATAGTTTGCGTTTTTTCTCGACGCATGCCGCGCATAAACCCACTTCAGTGTGACGGAAAAGCGTAGGGAAAATAATAAAAATGTCAACGGCCCCAAACTTATCTCGGCACGGTACACTTTTGGAGACGAGAGAGGATAACTTTGTTACTACGGAATGTTTTGGGTTAAAAATTCCGTGATATGTACAAAGTTTTTGCAAAAGTCTTCAGATTTCCCCAAAATTTGCTATTTCGATTAAAAAATTTCAAGTTTTTTTTAAGATAATTCAACCTCTAAATCACATAGAGTAAAAACAGAATCAAATTAAAATATCAAATAATCAATTAATCAAAATTAAAATAATTACATTATTTTTTAATTTCAAATATTTATTTATAAAAAATAAAAAATAAATTGCCAAAAATTGGAGAAAGATTGATAAAGCCCACATCCCTCATGTTGGGAAATTCTATGGTTAAAAAAAAAATTGGAACCTTTTTAATTAAATTATTATGAAATTATATTTCTTATACTTATTATTAAAACCTATTCCACGCCGTAAAAAGTTTTAAAAAAAAATGAGGAAAACCTTGTTTAGCAAATTTTAATTTTCTAGGATTTGAATTTTTATAGATTTCACTCAGGATTTTATTGTTTTATTTTACCAAAACACTTAATTCCGGAGGCTTTGTCGCCAGCAAGATGGCTTAAATTAAAACAATTTACTTATATAGACCAAAATTCACAGCCATCTTGAAATGAGACACAGAGAATTTCATCCTTTGATTGTGCGAATGGAGCTGAGCCTCGTCTGCTGCTATTTATCTCTCTCTCTCGTCCGCCTTATCTGCCAAAATCCCTACAATGAAGGCATCGCACCGCAAAGCGCCTGAATGTGAAATGCGCACCCGCGTTTTTGCCTTTGCATTATCCGGTCTCGGCATTCACAGCCGTACATGCGTGACCCGTATGCAGAGAGAAAGGCTCCCTTTTTTACTCGCTTCCTAATATCATCGGCGGAAGTCACAATTTCTGCATGCGTAATGGCGCGTGGGCGTGTGTGTGTCTCTTTTTGCCTGTTATTTTTGCTCAAAATAATTCGCTGTCACTTCCGACCGTACGCTTGGTTTTTGTCGCGCAGAAAGAGAAGAGGAGTATCATCTGTCGCTCCTCCACTTTTCTTCCAGCCCGACGTGCGTTTTGTGTTGCAGAAAATCAAATCTGCATTTCGCTTCCGAGAATATTCACAATTTTCTTTTTCTTCACCATCTCGGTGATGAGAATTCTCGCTCTCTCGCAGAAGAGAAATCCAATCGATGTGACAGGACACAGAGTGCGTCTATCAATACAGAAAGTGTCGAGACGATTCTCTCTGTCTGTGATTTATGGAAGTATTCAATTTATTCACAGAGGAAAACGCAATATATAAAAATGGAAAATATGGAGATTTTTTCAGCCGATTTCTTATTTTCTTTGAGAGTAAAATTGATATTTTAAATAAATTTATATGGGCAGAGAAAGCTTGATCATATATTAATAAACGCTGCTATTTGAAATTAAATTTTAATTCAAAATTCAATTACTTAAATTTGACGAAAATGATAAATCTATTGTTGAAATTCAAATCAACAAAAATTAAAACACTTCATTTCAGATTGAACGATAATTTTCAGCGTAAAGATTTAATTGTTATGCACATACAAATCAACAAAATTAAATAATAGTAAATATAATTTTATACAAATTATTGCAATATTTTGTATTTAACTTATAAACATTATATATTTTAAAAAAAATTATAAATTTTTTGTTTATTATAATTTAATTAGGTCATTTTATATTCTATTTTGTATTTTATCTATATAATGTTTATTGATATTAAAGTATAACTTTATCGTCATTTTAATAAATTTTATTGTATTTTTTAAGGTATTAAGATTAATCATGTCAAATATAAATTAGTAAACTTTTTTTAAATAAAATTAGTGCAAAATTTTGGTTAATTATTACATTTATAAAAATAAAATAAGTTTGTCTAAATTTTGTTTACAGTTATTTACTTTGAATCAGAATGTTAGGGAAACCCCTTCTGGTTAAAATAGGCAAAGGACAAAATTTATAAAAAAAAATCATCATTAATTCTGAGGCTCTTTCTTTATCAACATTATACAAAAAAACTGACATACTTTTAGGAGTGCCCTTTTGAATGTTTATATGCACACATAGAAATGTTTACATTCTCGTCGGTATGATAAACGCAAAACCCTTTGGCGCGAAAGATTAAAGATAAATTGTGTAGCGGGTTGCCGTGCCGGCGCATGCATTTCACCAGGAAAGGTCACGAGTGGAAAAAGGAGCGTAATATTTCAAAAGAAATCCCTCGGCCCGGTTCGCCTTTCACGCTCTAATCTGCCACTATCAATCGCGATCAAGAAGAGACCTTTTGAGTCTAGAATCGTCGCAGAATTTTCGCAGAAAACACGTGCTTTAGAGGCCACGCCCTCCATTCGAGCAGTGACTAATTACTCGTGGTGTTATTTCACCCATCATTTATTACATTGTTAGTGAAATGTCAGCTTGAAACTTAATCACATTAGTTACCTGCCATAATACGCAGCCTGCTCGCAGGAGAGAGCGACGGTGAATTTTGAATATGGAATTTTCCAAGCAGGTGTAATGGAGAAGTCTGAGTTTAAATTCTAATTTAGCCTCGTGTTTTGCCAAGTAAAGGGAACTCTCCGACCGCAGAAAATAACAATTGAGGTCCGAGGATGGCGCACTTAATTTCCCTAGGGTTGCCAGACAACAAAGAATCTCAGAGGCGAGGCCAAGAATTTTCACGGTCCCTCGGTTTATTTTAGTGCGTTTTCAGTTGTTCTCGGAAAGTGCATTTCCTTGCTGGTCGTCCCCAGCTGGCTCTTTTGGGAATAGCCGCAGTCATATTTTTCTCGTTGTGCAAATGCGAAATTTACTCGTCCCACGCGAGAAACGCAAACAAGCTGACAGGAGTAAAGAAAACGCGCGTCTTTTCTTCTTCTCATTTCCCGCAGCTGCTGCTATAATTAATATTTAAAGCAAGCAAAAAGTGCTCGCCATTATCAAGGAAGGAGAACAGCCAGACTCATCGGGTCGCCACAATATGTCCAATAATGGAATGTACGATAACTGAAAATTAATTTATCTATTTATTTAAAATATAGAACTTTGTCAGCATTAGTGTTAAAAACGTTTAAAAAAATGAAAATTATTTGACAATTCAGTTTGATGCAATAGATGTAAATAAAAAAAATTCATAATCCTATAGTTATAGTTTTACATTTAAAATTAAAATTAAATTATTTAATAAATAAATTTAATTATTTAGTTAAAAATTATTGTTTTTATCAAACAAATCTTTATTTAAAAATTATAAATTAATTTAAATTTTTTTAATTTTATTATTTAATAGTATAAAAAATTAAATATTGGCTCTAAAATGTAGAATAAGTTTTTCAGAATTTCCTTTTTGGACTAAATTGGGATATCTAATTAACTTATTCCGTAAAGCAGCGTCTAATTAAAAAGCTTATTATAAAAACAAGGGTTTAATTCTTCTGGAAATTCACTGGAGAGGTATTTTTCATCATTGAAATTTGCCTGTTAATTAAGAGATTGTGATTTGAGCATCAGAGCGAATATTCTTCTCGAATCTAATGAGAACAATCTGAGTAAGCGTTTCCAGTTCTCGACGATAAAGTTGAAATTGAATTACTCGCTTCCAATGCATCCGAGAATTCTAATTTGCTCTTCCGCCTGAAAATTTGATTTTCTGTGCAAACGAAGGAGCAAATTAGATTTCGAGAAATCAGAGATTTCGCTGAAGAAACACCTGCTAGTCCCCTTTTGCTTAATCATGTCTCTCCCCTGCCGAATTTATTTTCTTGGCGGCGGCGAAGTGAAAGAGAAAAAGAAATTGGGCGCAAAGAAAGAAAGTAACGTGGGCGGCATGAAAGATGGGATTATTATACACTCGCGGCGAAAACTTTTCCCTCTTGCGCTGCCAATCAAGCGGAATTTGCATCTTAATGGAGAATCTTCTCTTTTTTCACGCAGGTATGAAGGCGGCGATTTTGATCCAAAAATGGTACCGACGCTACTTGGCGCGCATGGAGGTGCGGAGGCGATACACGTGGACCATTTTCCAGTCGCTCGAGTACGCCGGCGAGCAGGACGAGGTTCAGGTCTGTGCAAATTTTTATTTTATTTTCAGCCGCCCTCGAACAAAGGAAGGATTATATTTTGGTCTCGGTCCTCATGCGATTAATAAAGTGCGGTGGGCGTGCATAAAAGAGGATTTTTTTGCGCCGCTTCTCTATTCAACCTCATTTGCTCCCTCAAAAGCAAATTTGCTTTTACGTGAGGTTTTCGTTCACGTGGAAATGCGCCCTGTCATTTAACAATATCCGCTGCCATTAGTGCAGATTTGCAGTTCCACTTTGACGGGTTGAAAATGTTCAAAGGACCTTTTATAATGGATGTCAATATCCGATACATCATTCCTATTTATTGGCGGTGCACGATTTCTTTGATGGCTGATGCGCGGAATTACGCATTGGTCGCATTTTTAAGTCCCCTTTTATTTTACCTTTGCCCTTTTCCATAAAATCTTTTTGATAGGAGGGACGAACCTCGAATATTATGATCAAAACGTATACATAAAAATTTACCTTTCATAGGGTTCGAGTGTTATTTTATTCAAAAGAAACTCAGTTTTGTAAGAGATAAAAGTAAAAATTCTAAAAACCAATTGATTTTTGAGGCTCTTTAGTGAAAAAGGATCATTTTCAACTGGGTTAATTTGTTTCCATTTAAAAATGTTAACTTTTTTTTACAAAAATTCGTTTTTAATTAAATCCTTAATGCCCTTATACTGTTTGAATCAGGTTAATTGTGTTCCTGTTCGCTTGAACGTTTTTGCTCGTTATTTAGGAAGAAATTATGCAATAAATCATTTACAAACGTTAATGGCCTTAATTGCCGTTCCCAGTGCGACCATTGAACAGGTGAAACACGCTGGCGCCTGCCTTTTCCATGGTTATGCACGCTGCGTAGTGCCGCTGTTCCGCGGGCTGCCTATATACGTGCGATTTCAAATCAATATTGCAGTATGTACACTTACAGAGTGTACGTGTTTGAGAAAATAACAAAAAATAAAGTATCCAACCTCACGATCCGTGAATTATTCTATTCTTGCACGACGAGGTCGATTTTACGGCAGCCTTATCGCTAGTATTGTTAACCGTGCGTGTTCGGCCGATTTAAAATGCTTATAATGTAAACATTTGCCAGTGCAAACAAGCGACACAATATTAATAAATTACAATACAATCCGCAGCTGTACAACTTTTTCTCGACTTTGCTGGCCAAAGCGCCCACGCCGACTGGACCTCTCAGCGCAACCGATCCTGGTCCTCCACCGGACTCGGATGATTCGGAAGATGCCAATTTTGGACCTGTCGAACCTGGGTACAAAGGTCCGAGGGTGGACTTTCCACTGACCAAACAGGGGCTGGACACCCTTCTCACAGCGTTTAGGCACAAAAAGGTGAGTTTTCGGATTAAGTTAATGAAATAATTATATTCTGGTAAAATTTAAATCTCTCTGAGCGAAAGCAATTTAATTTCCATGTGTATAGCTCAAAGGGATAAGCATAAAACGGATTATTATCGAAACAACAAGGGAAACTGAAATTATTTGAATGAAATTAATATTAGGCGATAACATATATCATTTTTGATTTAAGAAATTACCAGTTAGGACCCTATTATTCTTATCACGTGAATGCCACTGCTCGTATTTTCCGTGTTTTTCCATCATTGATTTGTGCCCCGGTCACAACCAAATAGATAGAAACAGCTGCAAGTTTTTATGCCTGCCAGCGACGAATGAGATTTTTATCATTGCAGTAAAAGTTGTTTACTGCTCCATATAATTCACAAAAGGCAGCCTGACTGCGTCGGCTGACGAGAGAAGAGAACGAAAAAGAGAGCAAATCAATAAGTGCGATAGGTGTTCCCAGAGGACCGCGTTTGAATATGGTTTGTTAGGGACGAGAATCCGCGGAAATGCTTCCATTAATGCACTCCCTGTGGAAGATATTTGCATGCCACAACTCCCTGAGTGGTTCATAGTATTACAAAGAAAAATAGTAATAACAACCAGTTTTTATATGACTTTTTGTGCTATTTTTGATTATTTAAATAAAACTAACAAAAAATTTCAGTAAAACGTATTACAATGATAGCTTAAATAAAGATAAATAAAGTAATATATTTAATATTAAAAAAAAATCAAGATTTTAAACATACAAATTTTTAAAAATAAATAAAAAATAGTGGCTTAAAAAGTTTTTATATATTATTTTTTCCTTTTTTTTGGGGTTTCAAAAATTGAAAATCTAGTTAAAACATTATGTTGCTTTTATGCTTTTACGACAGCTGAACACGTTGAGCTTTACAATGGAGTTATTTTCATTATTTTCTTCTTAATCTTTTTTTTCAGCCTCCCCGTGTGCACGCACATTACGCGTGGCACATATTGCGGGAAGCGACAACCATTCTGCGGCGCCTGCCTAACCTGAACCAGGCGAGCACCACCGTTGGCAAACAAATCACAATTTGCGGAGACCTGCACGGAAAGCTGCAGGACCTGCTCGTCATTCTGCACAAGGTGAGCCTCGCCATTGTTAAATTCATTTGAATATATACATTCGAGAGCTTGATTAAAAAGAAAAAATGAAATTGTGAGGGGAAAAAAGGGCGCTCACCATGATTTTCAAAACTGCCACTCAAGCATGGGAGAAATTCTTTTTAGAGAACAGTTTGACAATGTTTGAACGGGGGAATATTCATGAAATATGAAGGGTATAGCTGCGGTTGATGAGAAATTTGACCTTTAAACTTTTGCTGCTCCACAAGTAGTGCGCTTGCGACACAGAATTTTTTAATACTGTTAGCGACACGAGTTTGCATATCCACCCTCCTCAGGGGCTGAATTATATTTTCAATATTAACCAAGAGAAGCACGAAAACAAAAAAGGCGTTACGCGTGACACATTTTAGCCTCCAGTCATTTTCTTTATAACAAATTCTTAATATTATAACCCATCCTTGCGGAACGCTCGAGAAATTTCTAACCTAAAGCAAATATTTACGATCAGCTGATATGAAATAAAATATGCAAATTTTAATAAATCTTTCGCCAAACAATTTTTAACATTCTTCTTTGGAGCTTAACAAAAAGAATTTGGACGTAAAAAAATTGCAATTGACAATAATTCTTGTTTCATAAACGGCATAAATGCAATATTTTTTCTACATGAAAGTTTTGCTCAGTGTTTGGTGTGCTTGAGAGTGAGACTGACTTTCTACTGGAATGTTAAGAGGATTTTTCTGCAAACAAATGTTTTCATTTAAAGTAGCGAAAAGTGTAGCTCTTTTTCTTTGAACGCCCACCAAGCTCAAGCGTTTGAAACAAAACACAAAGGGCGTATATTTGAATTTTATTGCAAAACGAGAAATATTTTAGCAGGATGAAATTATTAAACTGATATCAAGCAGAAAATTCTTTCTCAAGAGAAGTAGATTTTCTCATAACATCGCAGTCACTTTTAGCTCTAAAAAAAAAAAATGAAAATTTATGGAAATTTCACAAAGAGTTTGTGTCATTCCAGGAAAAGTATTAATATTTTCCAATACAGAAAATAAATAAAATTCATTTTAAAATCAGGTATAAGAATCTAAATAAAAAGAAGAACACTTGTGCGGTGTTGGCTCCGGAGAGAATGCAATTCATTATTCTCGTCGTGTGTTGAGGGCTCTTTCAATTCGCACGCACGGTCAATTCTCCAGCGGCTGAAAAGAGCAGCGTGTACGATAAAAGCGCGGACGTGCATGTTTCAGAACGGACTGCCGTGCGCGGAAAACCCGTACGTGTTCAACGGCGACTTCGTGGACCGAGGGAAGCGCTCGATGGAGGTGCTGCTGCTGCTCTGCGCCCTGGTGATCGTCTTTCCGGGCGCTGTGTTCCTCAATCGAGGCAACCACGAAGACAGGGCCATTAACGTCAGGCAAGTACCCATCTCATATATAATTGCCGCGCGCCTTTCCTTCTCCGTCATTGTCATTCGAAGTGTATTCGGATGACAAATATATCATGCGTCGCAATGGTAAATCAATAAATATTTAGCAGAATTTTATCTTGTGGATGATAAAACTTTATTATATTATTATAGAAATATTATATCATAATTTTATCACATTTATTTACTTATTTTCTCTCCATACAATAGTCACAAAAAACAGCAATAAAACATACGTTAAATTAAAATTGCAGAAAAAAGTGTGAAAGTACATTTTATTTTATAAGTTTAAATATAAATGTTGTGTTTATTAATAAATTTATTTAATTATACACTTTTCTTTTATATTAATAATTTATCATAATTATATTATTTAATCAAATAAAATACATTTAATAATATTTTAAAATTTATCAAAGTAATTATGGTCATGATTTAAAATCAAAATAGCCTGTTGAAAGCAATTATTTGATGAAAAACATTAAGAAATAAATTTCACAAATATAATTATTAAAAATCTTACATTAAAACTGCAATAATAAAAAGTCAAATGACTAATCGATGGTCGTGTTTGATAGATCTCAAACCAATATGATGTTATAATTGCACACTTAAGACAATATAATATTAGTGTGTGTGTATTAAACTTTATGCAGCATAATTAACCTCAGAACCTCTCAAAACTAATCCCCTCTCTAAGTTTGACGCGTGCAATCAAAATATCGTAAGAAGGTCGGTCTCATTAGGCACATTCCGCACCCCTTTAACCCTCAGCGCTCAATCTCGTTGCCCTGCTGTCGAAAGTCGGGCTAATGATCTCCGGGAACAAGCAACAGCGACTCTCCTTGGGCCGATTGATTGCATTATCTCTTGCACTGCATCCTGTGTGTCCTTATCAAATTACTCTCCCTCTCGGCAGTCGAGGCTGATTACGCGCGCGGCGTCTAAACTAATTTCGCGAGCGCCGTCTTATATTATATTCTTGGGCTGCACTTTCGCCGCCGTAATGCTATTTCGCACGCACCAACCCTTTTAGGCGAAGTGGTGCCAGGGCAGTAATCGGCCAAGCGGATTATTATACTCTTGTTGCGCTGCTTTGAGCGCGTGTTCGAGCTCACCTCTCCGGTTTACAGAGCAAATTGCGCCTATTAGCCCAGGCAGACACGCTCGTCAATTAGATCAAAAGCTCAATCTCCGAGATTTGTGTTCCGTGAATGGTCTCTTTTTTTCCAATTGATAAAACGAATGAAGTAAACTAAGAATTGGTCGTTACAGAAATTGGAGCTCTTCATAAACTATGTAAAGAAAACTTTTGTCTTTTTTATATATTTTGTTTTGATTTCTTTGTAAATTTAGGACAAAAAAATTTTGCTCTATAAATTTATCTACAATTGAAACTCAATTACTTTTGAAACAGCAAATGAATCTAAGGAATGATTAAATAATAAATTATTTATTAAGTTGAAAATACGAAATAAGAATAATTGTGTCCGACTTTGATATATTATTAATCCCAGCTTACACTTAGTTTATTTTTGTAAACAATCCAAGCCTTACTCTGATGCAGTGTGTCGTAAGTCGTCTCCCACTCAGAAACAATTAATGCAGGTCGTTGCGCATCTGGGTTCGTTACTGCAAGTACACACAATGTTATATCGAGCTGTTCTTTTATTATTCCACATGCGAAGAGAGTCCGCACATTATACACGTTGCCGGCGCAAGCCATATAAACACTTTATGGTTTTCACCAGGAAATTGCTCTTAATACCCCAAAGCCTGCGGATGCTCTCTTAAAAATTAACGCACCTTATGGCGTCACGATGCTGCCCACACCACGGTCCCACGGCGCAATCAATGCGGTCTGCACACAAAGTCCCCAAAATCCTTTTGTAAATGTTGTTTTATTTTTATTCAAACGAAAAGCATCGAATTTCTATAAATAATTTAGTTTTATTTTCATTAATCTTTTAAGTTTTAAGATAAGCCCAAAATCAATAAATGTTTTGAAATTTTATTGGAGAAATTTGCACTAGAGAAGACGATCATGAAAGTGAGGAAACGGGCTTTGTCCTCATTGAAAATTTTGTCTTTTTAATTAAAAAAGAACGGCTTTTTTTGGTCTCAAAATTCTTGGTCAGTGAAATTCTTCCTCAAAATTCTAAGAACAGCATTTAATTCTCTAATCTTCTTTACGGAGAAGGTTTTTTGAATAAGGATAATCTGAAAGAGTGTAATTTAATATATGTACTTCCTTGTCTTCGTTGGAAGTAACTTGAAGGCCGCATCCTCTTGCGTGTTCCTTTTTCCTCGCCGTCCCCTGGAGAGAAATGCAAAATTCTTTGGCAGCTTAAGTTCTACACCAACTTTTACGGCACGTTTAAGTACAAAAATGTCGTGATAAAAGGCGGTGGATTCTTCCGAGAAAAAGGACATAATGCGCGCAGGTCTTTATTACTTTTTGGTCCTACAACGGCCGTTAAAAGGTAATTAATATGCGCAATAAGGGGGAAAATTTCGGTCTCACTGAACGATTCGCTCTCAAACTTTGATCATCTGTTAAAAATTGCAAAGTTTTTTAATCGAATTAAGCCATTAAATGATTAAATAAATTACATAAAATGGCTTAACATTTCTTGAAAAGTTATGCAACCCGGTAAAACATAATTTAGTTACTACTTATTTTGCTAATTAATATTAGCATATATTTTTTTTTATAATCAAGTCAGTAGAAAAAAAGGAAGAAAAATGTCATAAGTCGCTGTAAATTGATGCATCGCGTTTCACCTTTGGTTTTCAAAGTTAATGAAGATGAATACCCCAACGCACGGTAATTACTCATAAGGCCGATACACACACGTGCAAGAATTGTGCACCAAGGGTAGTTGCTTTCAATGTAACTCAGCTGCGCAATTACCTGTCAGACGATTTCTGACGTGTTGCCACACAAAGGGTGTTGCCGAGAGTCATCACGTAGCAAATGGGAAAGGCTGCACATTGCACTGCTCAATTATTAAAATCCAATCGAGAGACCGAGATGGAAGCCCTTATTACATTTGCTTTGCGGTCGCATTTTTCATTCTCGTGTGGAACGTGAGGAAAATCACAAAGCATAAGAGTGGAAAAATGTAAGACGTTATAATCTGTACAATTTCAAGATGTGCTCTTTTCATCAAAGAGCATGATTATTTCAACCTTATCATTTGCAAGCGTCTTCACCTCATTCGTGCTTTTATTATTCTGTGCCCTCGGCGGCCGAGATGATATAATGGCAAAGTGCTTGTTTGCGATCATAAGAACAGCCACGCGCGTTTCTGCCTTGTAATCTCAAACAGGTGCTCACGAAGGCTTTCTCATCAATTTTCCGCGCCGACTTTCCTTTATTAACAGACGCGTGCATATAAACTATAGCTCGCAGCACACACCAAATTCGCCGAGGCGTGGCGGTTGCAATATTTCAACCGGCCGAGTGCGAATCAATATTTCTCTTGTCTCTGCGTAAATGTTCAAAGCAGACTGGAACGTCAGTCACGCGAAAATGAAAAATCACCTTTCGCCACTTTAATATTATTTCGCTATTTTAAGTCTTTATTTATAATTTGGTTAAATTTTTTGTCAATTTTTTGTCTGACTTTAAGTAAAAAAAAAATTAAAAAGTATAATCAAATAGGATAAAAATATTTAATTGAAGCTACCGTTCCTTTATACTTAAGATTTAGAAATTGCTCCTAAGCAAAACGTATTGAAAATTTTATCAACTATAAAAATGCATAAATTCCATTCCTTGAAATAAAAAATGCTTCTGCCTAACTTCTTTATAATTTAAAAATCCCTTCAAATTTATGATAATTAAAAATTCCTGTTCTTTTACTATTGGTTACGTAGAAACTTTCATTCAAATTCATAATTTACCTTTGATTGGATTTCAAACATTCTAACACACGGCACAACAATTTAGGAAAATGCTATCATTTTTTTATTGTTACAAATGAATACCAAAATTAGTGAGAAAACAATTTTTTACTATTTTTACAAAAAGAAAAAAGCGTCAAAATTTTTGAATATATAAAAATCTAGTTCATATTTCTATTTCTTCATAACTAGTCAATTCTTTTTTGTGCAATTATCACAAAATGCTAGATTTTCCCCTCATGGCGTGTAAGGAGGTGCCAAATCCTCTTTTCTATTGACGTATAGTGAGCTATTTTTATAAATGTCCATCAGATACAAAATAATCTTATCAAATCAAAAACGTCCAATCAAAATGAGGGTGAAAACGAAAGCACAACAACTAATCAATTTTCTTTTCAACTCTGGCGCCGCTCATAGTGTCTCCTCAGCCCAGGGGCGTGGAAATTGATTTGGGAAGTGAGCGCGACAGCATTCACTTTTTCTCGGTAGCTCTGTAAGTGAATTAGGGCTCGGCAGGAGGCAAAAATACTCCCAACGGGGTAAAAGCACAAGCGAGACGCAAAACTCACTTTGCTTTATACTTTGTGCGTGCCCCGCTCGCATTTTCCAAAGCGCTCCGCTTTTTCGGTTGATTCGCGTCATTCGCTCAAAAGCGCCACCAAAAAGGCAAGCGAGGTGCAAAAATTGCCATAATTAATTATTTGGTGCTGTCACAAAAGGCGACGTGGATGAAAATTAATGGCTCTGTGACATTCGCGCCTGGCGAATGGGAAATGGGCCTTTGGAATTACTTTTGTTACTAAATTTATGTATTTATGTGACGCGCGTGGCATAAGCAAAGGGGAAAGGTATTAAGCACTACCACACTAGGCTTGTATATACAGCGTAAAGCCAGTGAGGAATGTGAAGTTAACAAATTGAACAGCATCATGCGATGCTGGAATTGAGTTTTTCAACCATGTCACAGGTTTAGAGTAGAATGCGGCAGAGGTTTGTTATTTTCAGCTGGGGTTGAAATTTAAGATACTCAATCTATAAAAAGTGTCATGCAGTCTCATGATGAAATCATGTTGATTAATCAAAAATGTTAAAATTATAACAATCTTTAGTGATATAAATCATTTTTTTAAACATAATATAAAACAATTAAGTAGAAGTGATTTAAAATTAAGTTTAGAATTTACATTTGAATAAAATATAAAAATAAATTTTTTTTTAAATTAAATTTTATTTTATTAAAAAGAAACAAAATAAAAAATATATTAATTGTAAGTGTTGTTTAGTTTGAAATTAAAATTTTATTTATTAAATTAAAAATAAATATAAGCACTTAAATGAATTAATTTCCAACTCAAACACAATGCTGGTTAGCAAAAGGAATGCCTTGGCGCTCGAAAGAATCGGCCAAAGGCCAAATTAAATAATTTAATCATAAATAGTTAATGGTATTTATTTAGTCGATTGATAGACCTAGATTTTAAAAAATTTTTCGGGTGCAGTGGCGCCGTCATTATTTAGTCGATTGATAGACCTAGATTTTAAAAAATTTTTCGGGTGCAGTTGCGCCGTCATTATTTAGTTGATTGATAGACCTAGATTTTAAAAAATTTTTCGGGTGCAGTGGCGCCGTCATTATTTAGTATTTTCCTATAAAGCTTTCATCATCTTGTTGAATTCCCACCAATTAATTTTAAATTGTATTATTTCTTGTGACAGTGCTGCTCTCTTTGCCTCTTTTTTGACTGCAGAATCCCAATATCAAATCAGGAAAATCAAAACTAGATTTTTTTTTTATATTTCGAACTCAAAATTTTCTCATTTGTCTTTATTTATAAAAGTTTTACTCTCCGGATCAATATAAAAAGATATGAGGATGTCGGCACGTCCATTGCCCACTTTGACACCAACACTGCACTATATAGTTAGGAATTTCAGCTTAGTCAGGCCAAGTGGCTCAGCAAATGTCGGTCAGCAGCTTCAAAATCACAAACATACCTTTGTGAGAGCAATTCAAATAATGAGCCGGCAGAGCGAAGCAGCAGCTTTGATATTATGCAACTCTTTCATGTTCATCCCTCTCCTCTCTCGTGAATTGAATCAACCCCTTTAGCACGTCGTTTTGCATTTTGAAAAGTGATTTGTAAGTTAGCGACTGCCACGTACAATATTAGAAACGTCGTCGTTCCCAAGTCAATAAGCGCCGAGTCCTGATGGCGAAAAGGGACCGTTCGTCAGAATCTTGATAAGGGAGACGCGCTTCCTCTCTCACACAAAATCGCAGCGCAATCAATACCTTTAGCCTTGGTTAGGTGTTTCATTGCCCAGGGAACTGAAGGCAATTTGCATGCAAATTGATTGAGTGTGCTCGAGTGAAAGGTTAAGTGCATTTGCTGCTGTCCTTGCGCGACTAGTTAAGAATGCATTCAACTGCCAATTATATAGGGAGAAAATCTTATTCTAATTTTGTTCATAAAAACTTCTTCAGTCGGCGAACAAATAAATTAGTTTTCCGTCAGTTCTTATACAATTACGACTGCTGTATGTAAAGTGAAGAAGGCGTTAATAAATTCTATAGACTCTGACCTATTTTTTCTTTGTTCGTTCCGTAGGTATGGCTTCATCAGAGAAGTAAGGACTAAATATAAGGTAAGAGAATTTGTATAAAAATAAGTTAGAAATTTGCATTTGATGATGAATTAAAATTCAAAACGGCTTCGCATTAATGGGTTTTGTGATTGGATTAGTTTTAAAGCAAAACTGTTTATTTTTGCTTTGGCAGTAAAAATAATAATGAATCGCTTTTCCCACAATTCCAATGAGGAAAGTCGTTTTTAATTAAAACCCATCACGAAAAAATGAAAAAAAGTTTGGTACGGATTGTGTTTAAAAAAAAAATATTAAAGAATAATGGAAAAATGTTGAATTTCCATATAATTTTGCTGGCAACCACCGTTAATTAATTGTATAAATGCGCCGGCCTTATTTCCCGCTGCTCTCTGCACGGTAACTAAAACAAACCCTCTCCTCGCCGCCGACACAAAGCAATCTGCTCAAAGGGTTCTCTCGGATGCAAATATTGTTCTGCGCCGCGCGATGATAATTTCGTCGCCAATGGCATAGCAAATCCCGCCAGCAGCTGCCGTCTGCCAAACAACAATGCCTCGGTGCGCGTTATTAAATCAGCTTGTTTGGGTTGCCAGCTTAAATTAATAACCCTTTTGCTCATATGTACTGCCGCAAATTAGCGCACGTTGACACAAACTAATCAAAAAACCTTTTTTTTTCTCTTAAAAGAATTTTGTTTGTACAGGTGCAATTTATTTCTATTTGCAGATGCAATCGGAGAGACTGTTGCGACAAATAGAGCGTTTGTACCGAGCGTTGCCCCTGGGGTCCGTTGTGGACGGGCAGGTGCTTGTGGTGCACGGCGGCATTTCCAATAAAACCGACCTGCGGGAAATCTGGACCCTCGATCGTTTCAAGGTGATTGGAAAAATCGGCGCCAACCCATTAATCTCCGGCTCAAATGGAATCGCACACTGACACACTCACAATCAATAAATTAACCCTCTCCGGTTCGATAACGCCCTCGCTGCGTCACTCATGTTTTGGGGTCTGAATCAGATTGAAATTCGGGTTGGTCCGAGGGTGAAATTGCAAACGAATCGGATTACTTCTGACATTGCGAGGGAGTTTGATATTTTTGCTCTTTACGAGATAAGCTGTAAAAGTTTTAGTACCGAAAGGGTTTTGAAATGTTTTAACGGTTTCGAAATTTACGACCGAGTTGCTGTTTACAAAAGTATTAAAATTGCTTTTTGAAACTCATGAGTTGGCACAATTGGATTAAGTTGCAGCAACAAATGGAAAGCATAAAGGGATGAAAAGCTGTGTTGTTTTAAAGCTTTTGTTTTGTATTATTAAGGATAAATCAAAATTTTCTTCTTTTATTATATTCCAGTTTGCGTCACTAATGGACCCACCGCAAAGTTTAAAAGAAAACGGCGAGGAAGACGAGGAGACCCCCGAAAAGCGTGCGTGGAGACAGGTATAGGGACTTTTTTTAATAAATCAATTTTGCAAATTTTCATATTTTGATTTGAAAGGTTTTCGACGTGCTGTGGAGCGACCCTCAAGCGGCGGAGGGCTGCAGTCCAAACACATTACGCGGCGCCGGCACTTATTTCGGTCCTGATGTGACCGACGAGTTCCTCACTAGACACAATCTTAGGCTCTTGGTGCGATCTCACGAGTGCAAACTCGAAGGCTACGAATTGGCCCACAACAATAAGGTGAGGGGCTTCTTTCTTTTTTCTTCGTTGAATTATTCATCCGAGCCGTGATTTCCATATGGTTATGCAGTGCATCACCATATTCTCGGCGAGCGACTACTACGAAGTGGGCTCCAACAAAGGCGCATATGTCAAGCTCTCTGGCAACCCTCTGACGCCCCAGTTTGTCCAATTTCAGGTGAGCTTGTCAAAAGCTGTCCTTCTCCATGTCAAATATTGGTAAAATCTGCGTTTAAAAGGAAAAAATTCAATTATTATTTATTTGAGTGAATGTGACACTCTAGGAGACGTTTATTTTGTTATTCCTTTTGATTGCAAAGTAGAAAAAAATGAAACAATTTTTAACCGTATTAATTATATCAGCAAATTTAGAATATAGAATGTGATTGAATTGTGTTTTAGAAAGTAGTGCTTTTTCCTTAATAATATCCATGCAGTTTTTTTGAATGATTTATTGATTATATTTGTGCTCCTGGTTAATTTAATTTTTATTGTTACTTAAGATATGGTTATATTTTAATTTTTTACAAAAACGAAAGCTATCATTTCATAAAATTGCATCTGACTCGGTAACTATTTTTATTGTTAATCTGCAGCGCTTATGGATTTTTTTTAAATAAATATTTGTTTCTAATACCTGACAGGTTAGTGCCGCCAAAAGCAGCAAACAACGTCGACTCACCTTCCGACAAAGGGTGGGTTTGGTGGAGCAATCGGCGCTCAAGAGTTTGGCTGCGACCATTGAGGCGCGCAGAATCTGCCTGGAAGCCGAGTTCAAGAACAAAGACCCAGATGGAAAAGGTAGACTAGTGTAATTTGCATTCATCCCTTTTATAATGCCGCAAAATTGATGTTCCTCTCGAAATTGCGTGGGCCGCGTGCCCTATAATAAAAGGGGTCCTTTTTGCAGGCACAATACCAGTGAAAGAGTGGTGCGAGGCGATGCAGCAAGGCACGGGCTTATCAGTGCCCTGGAGGCTGCTGAGGGACCGTGTTTTATCGCCCCAAGCGGCTGAGGAGGCGGCCAGGACCGGAATGATAAAGTACAGCGAGACTTTCAGCGGTCCGGGATCGGTGAGTGGAGGAGGTTTTGTTTTCCGCTTAGCTACAGAAATCTTTTTATAAAAAAAAAGAGTTTGACGTTCTTCAAGGAGTTCCATGGAAAAAAATCGCCATTTTTATTGCAACCAGAAGGACTTTTTTTCATTTCATTGCTAAATAACAAATTGAATTAAAAATATTTTATCTCAAAACATTGTCCAATTATTCATTATATTCTTGAGGCAATTAAATCACAAGCATTAAGCATCTCGTTAAAACTCCGGGAAAAGAACTATGGTAGGAAAAAAGGAGTGTTTGCTTTTGCTTGTTAGTTTTACATCAAAGACCATTAAATACTCCCACTAACCAATCAAAATGTGACCCAATTTCATAAAAGCATTCATGTATGAATATTCACCGTAGCCATCATCATTTAAAATTTAAATCAAGAGAGCGTGAATGATGCCGTTTTTCCAATAGTCATGCACGATCACGGATGACGGCACTAATGCTCATTATCTTTATGCATGCCTGTGCCTAATTAGTGCACAAACATAGATCACTCTCAATAAGCTCCAATATCAATCGGGAATCGCTGCGCTCGGACGCATCGGAATTAAGTTCTAAAGCTCTGGAGCTCGAATTGCATAATTAAAATCAAACAATCACACCCCGCGCGAGCGAGTGTGTTTGTGGATTTATTTAATCATGCTAATTACTGTTGACAGCAGTCTGGTTGTTATGTGACGGAGGCGCTCTACAGGGACAAAATGGCTCTGGAGTCGCTCTTCAGCGCCCTTGACACAGATCACTCAGGTTTGTTTTTTTCGAGCAATGAAAGGTTAAAATTTAAAGCAAAATAAGCTCTAGAAATTTTCAGCAATCTGGCGTTTTTTTATTTCAATATTAAAAAAAAATACTTAAAAGAAAAGCTGATTATCTGAAAAAAAAGTTTAATTTATGGTTTTTTTCTTGTTTTATTTATATTTTAAATTGTTAAATTGTTTGAATTTGCAATTATAAAATTCCAGTTTAATAATATTGCTTTTTGATTTTGTATTTTTACTTAAATTTTATAAAATTATGTTATTGATTAAATAAATTAAATTGTTTAATTCTTTAAAAACATTATTCATTTTACATCAAATTGTTTAATTCTTCAAAATAATTATTTATTTGAAATATATTAAATTTACTGCTTATGAACAATGACTCTTTAAAATAACGTTATTTAATTGTTTTAAAATATTATAAATTTTAACTTCAGGCACCATTTCAATGACTGAGCTGAAGCAGGCCTGCTCCCTGTTACCAAACGATGGCTCCGAGCCGGGACAATTGTGCGCCAGATTGGCGCGGTGTCTCGACTTCAACCAGGACGGCAGGGTTGATCTGAACGAGTTCCTTGAGGCCTTTCGGCTGGTGGACGCCGGCAGGACTCCAGCAGAGGCCAATGAATCGCCGGACGAGGAGGACTAGTATTCGGCCAAGACGAGAGACTGCACCTGGAAGGTGTGGAACTTCTCGCCGAAAATGAAGAGGAGACAAGAAGCTCGCAAATGAGAAAGTAAAACTTTTTTGATTTTCCTTTTGCTGCTGCTGGACTAAGGCTGGTGATTTTTCGCATCTCAGCCCTGTTGCACATTCCGTCAAATTGTTTCTTGGAAGAATTATTAAATACATGGCTGCGCCAGTTTGAAAAAGTTGATGGTATATGAAAAGGGAATCGTTGCTCCGGGATATTGGGTATTCGGATATTGGGCTTTATATGGTTGGCTCTGAGAAGATTTAATAACATGTTATAAGCGGGTTGGGAAAATTATATATGATACAGCGCTATTTGTCAATGACTTTTTAAATCTCTGGTGTTCCTTGCTGTGCATTCTCCAAATCAAAACCTGTGTCTTCTCGACTTCTGCTGAACAATTAACCCCCAGCAAACTGCTCTGTTGTGTACCTATATCTGTCTTTAAGTCCAACATAATCAAAATACTTCTATGGGAACTATTCAAAATAAATTAAATGTCTGCTCTCAAAATTTATATTTACGAGAATGAATGGTGGTTTTTCGATGTCTATAAAAAAAGCCAAATTTTATTTAACGGTCGACAGTGCTTTTAAAATGTGTGTTTGTATATTAACTTTATAATTTCATTGTTCTTCCGAAATCAAAAATACCCAACTGATGGAACCAAAACTATACTCTGATATTATAAATATTTTTGTTAACGTGGTGCAGCATTTACTTGTCAGGTAAAAAATATGTTTGATTTTCTTATACCTTGAATCCACGCAGAAAATCGAAAAAATTGCAAAAAGTTATTTATTGTGACAAATGACAGAAACAAGAATAAAAATTATTACGACCAAATATACAAAAAGCAAATTTTCTTTTATTTAAACCGCTTCAAACTAATTCGTTTTATTTTCATTTTCTTAAAGTTTGGACCATCAAGTAAGACGAAATTTTGGTAGTTTCAATATTTATTTTCAGAGCAGCGAAAATAATTAGAAGAAGAGTCATTAACGTTTTATGAGCTTACTTTAATTATCCTGTATAAAAAATTTAATTTAAAAAGTGACTAGTTGAAAATATAGAGGAGAAAAATAAAGAAATTAAATATTACACAGTCTGACCTCAAGTAAAATTAAATTAAATGCTGAATATAGGAGCGTTGTGCCGCCTTCCTGGAGTATAGCCTTTGTAATGACGGTAGCTCATGTAGCAGTCCAAAACATAAACCCCTCCGAGTAGCAGTCCTAAACACTGACAATTAAGATAAAATTTCAGAACATTAAAATATCTCAAGAATAACCAAAACTTACTGACGCTCCGAACATTGCCGGGTAGACGATGTAGAAGGGTGTGATGAGGTATCTCGGCCAAAGGAAAAAATTGACCGCGGCCAGTAACGAGCTGCTCGAGCTCAAAACGAGAAACGCGCACATTCCGTTGTACAGGGTTTCCTGCGAAAATTCAAGGCAATTCGTGAACTTTTGTATATTCGCAAGGGTGATATTTTGTGCTCACAAAAAGGGAAGAGCGCACCGCTTTGACAGACTTTTCTGACAGGAGGAAGCACAATAGGAGGCAGCCGGAGCCGAGAAGGGCCGCCGAGCAGGCTGAGAGGTACGCGTCGAAAGCAGAGCCCATGTCCGCGGCGTGAGACAGCCCAAACTTTATTGCCAAACTTTGACACATTGACCCGACGATCTGGAAGCAAATACGGAGCTTATTAGTCGCAAAGATTACAAAAGTTCGGCAGGGCCATGCATTATATTTCGTATGATGAAATTACAAGTACTCTTAAATATCTAATTACTTTGGATTATTAAATCATGATAAATTATAAATAAATAATTATTTATATATTTTATAAAAGTTTATAAATGATAAAAATAAATTTACTTACTTTAAAATAATATTTTATTTTTATTGTTAAATACATTATATTATTATTTTAATGATTTTTACTATTTCAATATAATAAGGCACAATTTTAAAATAGTAATAATCTAATAATATTTTTTAAATATTTTGATTTCAAAAAATATTTTAGAAATAGATTAATTCTTTTGTAAAAAAGTATTCATTAACAAGTTTTTACACTCGTTTTTAATTATTATGCTTTTGGTATACTTTAAGAAATTAAAAACAAATTAAAAAAATCGTGGTGTGACAAATGGATTATTAATTCATTTAAAAAAATTGACAGAAAACAGTATATAATAATCATATGTATAATAATAATAATAAAAAAAAAACTAAGGACTCCTCCAGAACGCGAAAATGATCCTTAATATTGCATCACTTGTAAAGAATAAAGGAATCAATAAGAGTGCTAACTCACAAATTCGACAATTTTGGCGATGCCGGCGGACGAGGTAACGTAGCTCCAATTGATGCAGCCGCAGCACCGGACGCAGCCGCAACAGCAGTTGACACCCTGGTCGGGCCCTGACAGGTTGACGGCCACCATGCGTCCCGGCATCTTTTCACCCCCGCTTGGTACCTCTTTGGCCAAAGGACACGCGCTCAATGATCTGGCGGCCCTCAGACGTTGCGCACGGAGGGGTCCCCTAACCCCCCAAGAGAGCTAAAGATAGGGCTAGACGGCCAGAAAGGAAACGACTTTTTTTCTCGAATGCTCAGCTGGTGAGATGAGGCGGGTTGTGCGCGGATGGTGGAGAAATCTTCTTTGGTTTGGGATCACGGAGTCAACAAAAAAAAAAAATCCATGAACTGTACATGAGCAAGAGATTTAATTTGGGACGAGCAGACGAGCCTTGGGTGCTGAAGCACCCAGCTCTCTTGCTTCTTTTCTACAGTTTCAGTTCAGTTTTTATTCAATTCATTAAAAACCAAAACTAATGATTTTAACCAAATTTATGAGACATATAAACACCATGATACAAAATTATGAAAAATAATAGGGGGAAAAAGAAAATGTTAGTAAAAAATATCAATTTTTAGTTATTAATTTTAATTATATATTAAAACATTTGGAAATTTAATTGTATATTAAATAATAAAATTTATAATTTGTTTTGAAAAAAGTGGAAGAAAGTTGTACTTTTTTCTTTCTTTCGTTAATATTGCTATTAACATGGCATTTTTAAATCTTCTTTGTTGTTGTTTTTATAAAATTTATTAGAACTTTTTTATATTATCTCATCTAGGATTGAAGGATTGTATTTTTAATGAAACATGATTTTTTCCCAATGAAACTTGACATTTAAACAAAAATATTGATGTTTCAGTAAATATTATCACATTTTTTTTTTTTTTTTTTTTTAATTCTAAGCTGTAAGATAAGAAGTAAAATTTTTAACGGCAGTAAATTATTTTATGTTGCCTTCTTTTTTTTTATAAATTCTCAAAATTACCAAAAAATTTCAGGAAACATAAAATTTTTCAAAATTTTAAATTCTGCATTATATAGATTCAGTCAAACACGCCACGTGCGTCCTTCTGTCACCCTTTGGCGCCAGTTTCTGGCTGAAACTCACTCGGTCGCCACCGCTGGCGCCAGTAACCAGGCAACAGCGCCAGGTGTTTTGTGTTTTGTTTGTTTCGTTTCTGCAACTACGCGCAGGCTGGTTTTCGATCGACTTTTTTCGACGTCGAGCTCAACTTGTGGATCCCTTGTAGATGATAGGAATAATTATTTTTCATTTGCGAGTTTGCCAATGATGACGTTGTTCTAATTTGCGACATTCCTGATCGATCAACTTTGAGCGCAATGGTAAATTGTAAACGCGATTGTTTTTTTATCTCTTTTGACCTCTTTTTTAATTAGTTATGAAGTGATATTTTCCATTGTTACCTGACTAAATGTCCACCTTTTTCCAGAGTACCTCTACGAAAAAGGAGAAGCAGATCATCGGAGGGATTCGTCGCAAGTCTGGAGGGCCGAAATTCGAGCTGAGCGACGAACAAAAGGCCGACATCAAAGCGGCCTTTGCCCTTTTCGACAAGGACAATTCCGGCTTCATGGCCACAAGGGACTTGAAGGTGAATTTAACTTCAATCTCATTATACCGAAATAAATGTTTTAAAATATATGCTTAGGTTGCTATTCGAGCGTTGGGTTTTGAGCCGAAGAAAGAGGAAATCAAGAAAATGGTCTCGGAAGTAGACAAAGACGGCAAAGGAAAAATCAACCTCGAGGACTTCACCCAGGTGATGGTGGCCAAAATGGCAGACAAGGATTCCAGAGAGGAAATACTGAAGGCTTTCCGCTTATTTGACGACGAGAACACTGGTCACATCACTTTCGAGAACTTGAAACGAGTAGCGAAGGAACTCGGAGAAAATGTGACGGACGAGGAAATGCAGGTATTTTTATTTTTTAGAATTAAAAATTTACTGGGAGATATGAAAACCAGTTTTGTTTTCTTCTTTCAAATACACTCAAGTGGAGATTGTCAAGATTCAATTTTTGTGTTATTTGCTTTGCAGGAAATGATTGACGAAGCGGACAATGACAAAGATGGAAAAGTCAGCCAGGATGAATTCTTAAAGATAATGAAGAAAACTTGCTTGTATTAATTTCATTGCGTGTTTCCTTGCATGAAATTGATTTCTTATTTTATCATATTTCAATTTCATGATGTACGTAGTTTACAAAACATTCCGACATGTGAATTTAATTTCTGAACAAATCAACCATCTGGTATTTTTTGTAATTTATTTTTTTTAAATAAGTAAATTCCAAGATTTTGGACTGTGCTATTGATGCCACATAACTATTTTCATAATGCGCACACTCACGTCTCACTTACTTTTATCTTAATTCCCTGACGAATTCAGATGCTACTAGTCAATAAAACGGTAAATTTATACGGCTAACAATATATTTTATTAACATGAAAAGTATCAGAAAAATTAAAATTATTGGTCTGTAAGATCTCCTGATCTATAATTATAACAATGTACTATTATGTACTTCACACCTACTCTGATGCATAATGGTTGGGGATAAATGAAAAAAAAATAATAAATTGATGTTCTGCAAAGAAAATATTGTTATTCTTTATTTCATAAACAATTTAATAAAAGTTTTATTTTACTGCTCAAGTAGCTTTGAACAAAAAACATCCCTTAAGGGGATCGAACCCTTGACCTCTGGATTAGAAGTCCAGCGCGCTATCCTCTGCGCCAAAGGGACAACGGGAAATGTGGGAGAAAACAGTACTATTAATACTCGCAACGTGGAGGGGAGCGGCACCAATCGCTGCTAACCTGTGTTGGCCCAATGTCATGGATTCGCACTTCGGCCGACTTCGCAGCAAAAGGAAGAGCATTATAATGAGAGTTATTGTGTGACTGCAAATTCTTCCGAAATTTGGCCAACAAAAATAAATTTATTTTACAATAAACTACTTCACAAGTTAATCTAATTAATTCTTATTTTGCAGTGAGCTAAGAATGTTATTAAAATGAGACAAAAAGTAACGTTTTGTGAAAATGCAGTATTATATTTATTATAAAAATATGTAGCAATAGAAATTTTCCGCAATATAAAATTTTTAAATGGCACGCAGGCTCATGGTGATACATGATTAATACACCATTACAATATAATGGGGGCCAAAAATATACAAATAGTTAAAAATATACAAAATATTAAAACATAAGTAGTGGAATTTAAATCCCTTCTTATGGTGCAAATGGAGACGCAATGACGTCTTCAGCTTGCAATTTGTGAGCTTTTCCGTAACCAACAGCTGGGGCAGCCAATGTTGGTCTTCCACTGTATGTCAACTGAAATAAATTTTTTGATTAATATAGCACTGATATTTAACATCACTCACTTTTCTCCCAACAAGATTGTAGAAACGAGGATACACAAAATTCCAAGCCCCTTGATTCCTCGGCTCCTCCTGACTCCAGACAAATGCTGCAGAAATTTTATTTTTCAAGTTATTCGAAGTTATTTTACAAAAAGAATTGGAACTTACATTTTGCCTTAGGGTATTTTTCCAACTCTTTGTTCAATTCAAGAGTTGGGAAAGGGCACAAACACTCCAGTCGAACGATGGCAACATCTTTGCGGTCCAGAGTATCTCGTTGGGAAACCAAATTGTAGTAATGCTTTCCGCTTGCAAACATAACCTTGCTCACATTGTTTCCTTTAACATCGTTATCACCTGAAAATTTAATTGAAGAGGTTTTAAACAATTTTCTTTTTGCTTCACATTCACATACCAATAACAGGTTTAAAACAAGTTCCAGGGCCCATTTCATCCAAGGTGGAAGTTGCAGCAGACAGTCTGAGAAGCGTTTTAGGTGCAGCTACGATGAGAGGCTTTCGGAAATTTCGAAGCATCTGATTTGCAAAATTTAGTTTATTAATTATAAAATATTTAAGTTTTTGACTTTTAACATACCTGTCGCCGTAACAGATGGAAGTATTGAGCAGGGGTTGTAGGGTTGACAATGTGCATGTTAACATTGTCGCCATCGGGCTTCACTTCGCTCGAGTCGGAAAGTTGCAAAAAGCGCTCCAGTCGACAAGAGCTATGTTCGGGTCCAGCTCCATCATAGCCGTGGGGTAGCAACATCACCAAACCACTGCACATGACCCATTTGGCTGTGAAAAATGTATCAATGAAAACTCTTAGGCAGAAATAAATCTTTACTTTCTCCGCTGGCTATGAAGGTGTCAATTTGGATTTGAGCACCATTGAAAAAATCTCCAAACTGAGCTTCCCAAATTGCCAGTCTTTTAGGACTCTCGATGCTCATGCCATACTCGAACCCTAAGACAGCCTCTTCGGACAAAATGCTGTTTGCCACCTACGCCAGATTTTCAATGAAAACACTCAAATCAATTTGAGCACTTACTTCTAGGTGGCCTTTTTGCTCCGGGGAAAGATCATTCAGTGGAATGTATGTGTCATTTGTTTCTTGATCAATGAGCATTGCGTGACGCTGAGCAAAGGTACCGCGGCCCACGTCCTGACCACAAATTCGGACGTCATACCCTGCATATAAAATATATTGAACAAGTGCTTTCACTTCGATATTTGCATTTACCATCGTACAGGAGAGAGCCAAAAGCCATGGCTTCAGCAGTAGCCCAGTCAATGTCTTTGCCCTCCGTAAGTTTACGAATTCGACTGTGCACATGGGTTTTCAGCAAATGCGGATGAATGGCCTAAGGTTTACCATTAAAAATAAGTAAATAATGAGATGATTTAAACCACTTACAAAGTCCTCTGGGAGTGAGACAGATTTCTGACCTACAAATTTTAAGAGGTCATTTGAAACTCCAGTGTCCCATGTAGTGATAGCAGCATCTGCTTGAGAAACTGTCGACCAAGGTCCATTGAGATAGGTTGCCTGCATTATTAGCTTTCAGATACTGAGTGCTGCAATATTTTATTGTTTTTACCTCTGGCTGATAATCATCGGAAATTTTCAGTTGGCTGTTCAACCAGTCGTAATGTTTTTGGCTAATTTCAGTTGCCTCTCCTGGATTCAAAACACCAACTTTTTCCAGCTTTTCGACATACAAGTCGGGCACAGATCTAAATGAAGTTTTTTTAAATAAAAATTTGAAAGCAAAACCAAATTTTACCTTTGCTGATCAATGATTTTGTACAAGGCAGGATTTGTGAAGCTGGGGTCGTCTACCTCATTGTGACCCCATCGTCGGAAACAGTTCATATCAACAAACACGTCTTTGCGGAACTGACGCTGGTACCGGAAAGCCATCTGTGTTGCTTTAAATACCATCTAATATTGGAATTAAAATCTAAAAGAATAAAATTTTGCCTCAATTTATACCTCTGGATCATTTCCATTGACGTGGATCACAGGTGCTTGAATCATTTTGGCTAGGTCACAGCAATACCTGGATGACCTGCCTCTGTCACTAGGGGTGGTGAAGCCAACCTGGTTGTTGACCACCAAGTGAACGGTGCCTCCCACTTCGAAATGAGGCAACATTGTCATGTTCAGGGTTTCTTGATTAATTCCCTGACCAGCAAAAGCAGCATCTCCGTGAACCTGGAGCATTTAATTTGGGAAACGAATCATGGGAAATATTGGGTTTCTTACTTGGACGTTCAACACAAGATCGCTCCAGTCTCTAGTGTTTTCCTTCGAGTAGCCTCCATCGCCAACTGTCTGCTGACGTGCTCTGGTTTTACCCATGGCCACAGGGTTTACAGCCTTGCAAATTAGATTAATATGAATTTACTTTTTTTCTCAAAAATTTTAAATTACCTCTAGATGAGAAGGGCAGAACAACATGGTGAGGTGAAGTTTTTGGCCCATAATGTCCAAGTCGGTTGTAGAAGCTGAATAAAAAAATTTAGATAAAAACTAAAAAATACACAATTTAAATTTAATTTTACTTAAATGGCTGATCACATCTCCAGTTGCTTGAGCAGAATCAGGAAATTCGAATTGGCCCTTCAGTTTCCTGAATAGAGCAGCAGGAGGAAAGTTGAACATTCCCGTGAGTAAATTCAGTCGTCCACGATGGGGCATGCACAAAACGATTTGCTTGATTTCATCTGAAATAATTGTTTAGCAAATTAATCAATAACATTTATCTTAAAAACCTCTTGCAGACAAGAAGAAGAGTTCTTGGAAAAATCCAACCATCGCCTCTGCTCCTTCAGCCCCATACCGTTTAACAGTGGCGAATTTGCTTGCCATGAAGCGGTCAAAAGCCTGCGACTTGATCATTTCTTCAGCAATGGCTCTTTTAGCTTCTAAGGGAATGTCCATTGGGACAGTCTCCTCCATTTCTTCAGCAAACCATTCTCGCTCCTCTTCATTCTATTGAAATTAAAAATTTTGTAATAAACTGCAAAGGTAAACAAATAAATAAAATTTCTTATCGTACTTCTAAGTAACTGAATTCAGCTGAAATTGAGTTGCAGTAGACGTGCTCCAGAAAGTGGATTGCTTCTGCAACTGTGCACTCATTGGCTGGACCATGCAGAATTCCTGGAGTTTTAACAACATCGTTGTTGAAAAGACCGAATCTCTCCAGTTCTAGTTCTTTCAAAGGTCTAAAATATTCAGGGTACAACGTAAAAAAGAAAAATACAGCAGGAAATAAATTAGAATTTATACCTGATTGGGCTCAGAGAAATAGGGTTGATTGACGCCTGTTTGTGAGCGTGCTCTCGAAAGGCAGAGACAAGTCGAAAAAAATTCGGCTGACTGTTCCGAGCTGCTAAGACTTCATGGGCAACTGGTAATAATATGTATATAGTGAATTTACAATCAACAAATAAATTATAATAGAATAATACTTTGGAATTCTCGTTTCGGGCGCGGTTTATACCCATAGACGCCGTTGTGAGTTTGGTAATTTCTGGCCAACAGGTGTCTGCTGATTTTTGATGCGCAATTTTTGTGCACGAATTTGCTATTTACGAGTTGAAACATTTTGCAAGGGTGGAAAAATAAGTAAAGTGTTCTAAGCAATCATTTTTCCTGGCGAGAAGAGCTGGCAAATTGAAGAAAGGACAAAAACAGTGGAGGATAAAAAAGTTTCTCCAAGATAATCCGATGTCCTTGATCCCAACTCAGCTGCCCAAAGTCAAAACAGCTCGGCGCTCCTCCCGAAAATCAATTACGCGCATGCGTCACCTCTAATTAAAGGGGCGTGGTTTGTAAACAGAAAGTCGAAAAACAATCAACAAACATTACACATTTATCTCATTTCGTTTGAAATTATAAAGAAAGCGTTGGGAAATTATAATTAATGTAGATTTATCTCAATGAAGATCACATCTGTTGACGTTCCAAGCTACCTTTTTCGTTTTGTAAGTACATAAATACATAATACTTTATCAAAACTTTTGTACAGCCTTTAATAACGTTGTAGTTTTCGTACATTTTTCTCAATTTTTCTATTTTCTGATGGATATACATATTTAAAATTTCACATACTGAATGATTCAATGCGTAAAAAATATTTTTTGTCAGTAAAAATAATATATTAAAAATTTCAGGCTCTTTTTGCATTCGTCGTCGTTGTTTGGGCATTTGTCATAACTGCAACTTGTGATTCGGCAAGAAAAACGTTTGCAGTTCCCTCTTAAAATGACTCTATCGGCGGAAATGGCTGCGGCCCAAATACAAGAAAGACTCAAGTCTGTCTACCATCTCGTCAAAGACATTCAGGGCAGCAGAGAAAAGAGTGAACACAATTTGACAAGCATTACAAAGGCTCAAGAGAAAATGGCAAATGACACCAAAGTTTCCAGCAGCCACCAGGTAATTAAAAGGATTATTTTTTATTTAGATATTTTATTAATTTTCATAACTGATTTTTGTCAGCAAAAGCTAAGAGGGCTTTATGTTGCTGCTGCCGCTGATGCTGAACAGGAGGAAAGCTTACTGAGAGAGGCGCTCTCTAAAATTTATGAAATTCGGTCGATTAGAAATGAAAGGAGAATTCAAGTATGCTGAATGAAGTTAACTAGAAATAATTGCAATTAAAGGTGCAAATTTCAGGCCAGAAATGCTGGTAACAAGGAAACCATTCGACGAGGGGCACTGATGAAAATGCTACAAATTTCTGCCCAAACTTTGCCTTTGTGGGTTGGAATGCCAGGCGAAAAGCCCCCACCCTTGTGTGGCTGCACACCAGCAGAAGCAAATCATGTAGCTAAGGTGAGTTTTAAGTTGATAGAAAGTTTCATTTCTAAAATTTAAATTCCTAAAGGCAGGAGACATGGTGGCTGCTTTGGTGAAAGGGCCCGAGGGTGATGAAAATTGGATTTTGGCTGAGGTTGTCAGCTACAACATGTCTGGAAAGTACGAAGTCGATGACATTGACGAAGAGCAGAAGGACAGGCATGTTCTCAGCAAAAGACGAGTCATGCCACTGCCTCTGATGAGGGCCAACCCCGACACAGACCCCAACTGCCTCTTTCCAAAGTCATCGATTGGTACAAACAGAAAAACTTTTTTTTTTAAATTAAATCTAATCCTTATCAATTTAGTCATGGCTCTGTATCCTCAAACAACCTGCTTCTACAAAGCCATCATCAACCGACTTCCTGTGTCTTCGATGGATGAATACGAGGTGCTTTTTGAGGATGCCTCATATCCTGATGGTTACTCGCCTCCCCTTCGAGTTGCCCAGAGATATGTTATTGCGGCAAAGGAGAAGAAAGGAAAATGAGGATTATGAAAAATTATATGTGCTTCTAAAATATTTCGGAAGTATCTCATATTGATGGCTGAAGCACAAATACGTGTGCTTTATCGTTTGTCAGCACTTTTCCCATTAAATATCTTTTCCGAATATTCTAGTATCATTCATTTCATAATTTTACAGAATAAAGACCAAAATAAACAGCAACAACTATTAATAATCCATTGAAACTTGCATCTCATTTCAAATTTTGATTAATTTTATTTACTTACAAGATTCCAGTTCTTTTAAGTGAGTTAAATTTTAATTACGTTTATCGCTTTTATAAAATTGTATGATTTTGTTAAGTCGGGGGTTGAAGCAACTTCTTAATCATACAACTGCAGTACAAAAAAATACGGTAATGTTATAGTACGCGCGACGTGTTTTTTCATAAGTTGGCAGCACTTATGCTCCCATGTAAAAGTATCACGTCGCGCGTTCGATAGTGGTTTTACGTCGCGCATACAATAATGGTTTTACGTCGCGCGTACAATACTGGTGGCGGTGTAATTTTTAAGGAAACCGATATTATTTCCCGATTACCACGGAAACCTCTATAGCACGCGCGACGCAATTCTTTTCCTACAATCTTAATTAAGGGGACTGCTAGGAAGAATAGGGGCCCTTGGGATGGGTTCAGAATGGGGCAAGACGACCTCTGGAGGGCCGTGCGCACCCTTATAGCAGGCCCGACGTATCACTATGGGACGGTCGAAAAGCGAACTCTGGAGGGCGCTTTTCACCATCGTCAGAGGCGCGACGCATGGTTATAGGACGCGCGACGCATGGTTATAGGACGCGCAACGCACGGTTATAGTACGCGCGACGCATGCTTATAGTACGCGCGACGCACGATTTTAGAAGGCACGACAAATTAATTATTACAAATGGTGCTACACGCGGCCGGAGTTGTGGGCACCCCACGAACCGGCAACTCGGAGGTGGGCAACTCGGAGGTGGGCAACTCGGAGGTGGGCAACCCCCAAGATTAATTTTTGCAGAAGCCGCGAGCGAGGGGTGGAGGCGCAGCGAGGTCGAGGACGTGGGGAAGGCCGTGCGGAGGGCGAGGACAAAAGGGCGGCTGTGTTCATGAGGGGGCTCCGCAGGAGCCCCCTCACGAACCCCGCCCTTTTGTCCCGCCCGGAGCCGGCCTTCACCACGTTCTCGGGCGAGCGCGCCTCCAGCCCGAAGCTCGCAAACCCACAACGGAGTTGCCCACAAAAGGTGTTGTCTGCAAAGGGAGTTGTGGGCACCACACTTTTTGCTTTCTAAGCCCTTTTTGCAGACAATTCCTTTTGTAAGCAACTCCGTTGTGGGTTTGCGAGCTTCGGGCTGGAGGCGCGCTCGCCCGAGAACGTGGTGAAGGCCGGCTCCGGGCGGGACAAAAGGGCGGGGTTCGTGAGGGGGCTCCTGCGGAGCCCCCTCATGAACACAGCCGCCCTTTTGTCCTCGCCCTCCGCACGGCCTTCCCCACGTCCTCGACCTCGCTGCGCCTCCACCCCTCGCTCGCGGCTTCTGCAAAAATTAATCTTGGGGGTTGCCCACCTCCGAGTTGCCGGTTCGTGGGGTGCCCACAACTCCGGCCGCGTGTAACACCATTTGTAATAATTAATTTGTCGTGCCTTCTAAAATCGTGCGTCGCGCGTACTATAAGCATGCGTCGCGCGTACTATAAGCATGCGTCGCGCGTACTATAAGCATGCGTCGCGCGTACTATAGCCGTGCGTTGCGCGTCCTATAACCATGCGTCGCGCCTCTGACGATGGTGAAAAGCGCCCTCCAGATTTCGCTTTTCGACCGTCCCATATTGATACGTCGCGCCTGCTATAAGGGTGCGCACGGCCCTCCAGAGGTCGTCTTGCCCCATTCTGAACCCATCCCAAGGGCCCCTATTCTTCCTAGCAGTCCCCTTAATTAAGATTGTAGGAAAATAATTGCGTCGCGCGTGCTATACATGTTGCCGAGGTATCGATGGAATAATCGGTTTCCTTAACAATTTCACCGCCACCAGTATTGAGCGCGCGACGTAAAACCATTATTGTATGCGCGACGTAAAACCACTATTAAACGCGCGACGTAATGCAAGTGATGCCAACTGAAATGAGGGATTTTGGGAAACACGTCGCGCGTACTATAACATTACCAAAAATACTTCCTTATTGATCTTTATTCTCCTTTTTTTTTTGACAATCTGGATTCCTTTCAACAAGGATCCTTGGCCCCTCCTAATTCCTAATGTCATGCAGTCAGACACGACCTGGTCGCCGCCAGGGGAGGGAGCGGGGCAAAGTCTGGTGACTCATCAGGCCGTCATGGATCTTCGCGCACTGACATTTCAGATCAGAGACAGACACATCAGCAAGGCCAGCAAGCAGACGCATGATCAGCTCATCTGCGTGACCTATACAATTTCATAGATGACCTCAGAGGCGTGCACGATTTACCAAGGAAAAGGTGTGTATGACTGTGCATATTTAATATAAACAATTATAAAAAAAAAGGAAAACACGACCGATGCGAATAATTGCAAATCATGCAAATGGAATATGAATAATGAACGCGCGCAACAGGCCGGACTGGGGCTCCGCGGCCCACAGGGCGATATCATTGAGGAAGCGCGGCCCAGTTCGGCGGCGCAGTCTACCTTTCCCCATAAGACCAATGTTAAATTGGGCCGCGGCCCATCGGGGTTGGGCCCGACTGCCCGTGGGCCCAGTCCGGGCCCACGTTAAGTTATTGTATGATTGAGAGAAAATTAAATGACTGCAAACTATTTTTTAGTTGGCTGAAATTTTAAGCATAATGCGGATCCAAAATTGCTTTTTTCTGTTTGGATTTTAGTTAACTTTTCTCTTAACTCCACGGGTCTATGTAATTCTGTAAGGCTGAAATAGAATGGTAAATTCCTTTTACAGAATTAAAGCCCAGCACCAGATTCAGATATTTCGAATCGTTGCGTTGGCGCGCGGGTTGCATTCCGAACATTACATAAATGCGCATTTCGCATTGCGACACAAAATATGATGAGAATGCATATTGTGGTTGCTGCAGAGATGCATTCTGCAAATGGCATCGAATTTGGAAATTTTTGACAAGTTTTGCGAGCTTATGGACAAATATTTAGAACTTCAAAGCTGCTATTATCGAAGAGCTGACTATAGATAGAGTGTAAGTAAAATTCTTGTGAAAATTATGTAGCTTTTAGATTTTCTTGTAGCTAACCAATATTGTGAATTAATTTTATCATTTTAATGTCACAAAAATATGTTTCTATTTTGCCTTATTTTCCTTTTGGGGGAGGTTAAATCTTTTCAAATTTATTGTATCTACAATCTTCATGCAGTATTCTGTTATTTTCTTTAAAAAAAAAATAACAGGTTTAGACATTCGAATTACTTTGTGGACTATGCAAAATAAAAATGGTGTGAAAATATAAATTTTAATATGAGAATTATGGAAATATTTTCTGAAAATTCATTTATAAAATCGCATCTTATTTTTTTTTATTAATTATTTAAAATGGACAAAGTCCTCAAAGTGCTCATATTATCGCATTTACATAATACATTGTGAGCAATTTGATTCATACATAATAATAAACAAATTGTAGACGAATTGTTATACACGGAGAGTTATTCCACAGCATTAATTTGGAGAGTTGTTCCATGCGCCACGTGATACGCGGTGACTTGTGTTCCACGCTTCCTTAAAAGATAATGAATTTTGTTAATATTTTAATTTTATATATTCCCTTATCTCAAAAATTTCTTTCAAGAAATCCAGATTTTTCTTCCTTGATTTGAATCAAAATTACTGATGCTTTGGTTTTACTTTTTGTTCTTAAATGATTTGAGACATGCGCTAAAATTATTAAAATACGTTGAATAAATTTTACAAGTAAAGTATCTGAGAAACTTTTTTGAATTTTTATTGAAATTCTTATTCTCATCTGTTTATTAAGTAAATTTAAAAATTGTTTTAGCTCAAATTAAAATATTAGTTTGGCTTCTACCCCAGCTGCCAAAATCGAAAAATTATCCGGATTTTATCCTCTCCCGAGAGGATAATATCCGGATAAAAGTCAGTTTTGGCAACTGGGGTATCTATCCCAATTGGAAATTTTATCCAAAATATAATTAAATAAACAGTTTCACCAAAGCAGAAAATTAATTCTTATATTTAAATTTTTTAAATCTTAAATTAAATTCAGTTAAAAATTTCAAAAATTATCAGCATTATTATATTATTAAAATCATCAAAAAAAAAAATAAATAAAAAAATTCTACTTAAAAAATGTTTTGGGCATAATTGAATATTTTGATGCCTATTGGCATCAAAGTTTTAAATTAAATTAAAAATTATATTTTTTAATATTTGATATATTTTAATAATTAATTGTTCAAAAAAATGTTAATTAGATTTGATGCATTAAAATAATTAAATTGAACTCGTAAGCGTATTTAAAACAAGGTAACTTTGATTTGCAGCACCAAACAAAATCAAACGCTTCTGCTGTTCCTCAACTGCAGGCTGGAGCCAAGTAGCGGATGCAAGCTTAGATCCGGTCTCCATGCTCATGGTGGAAGCAAAGGTAAACACTAAATTCATTTAATAATTTATTACTAATCAAATTCTTTGTTCATTTAGCTTCAAGCGCAGCCTATCTCCACTGCTGATGCTGCAAATGGAGCAAATTTGCTTTCCTCTCTGCTCAACAGGAAAACACGAGTTGAACCCACCAGAGACTACAAATCTGTGTTTGAGTTCCTCACATACTTCCTTGACTTGTACCGCAAAAGGAAACTTAGTTCCATCGCTGACCAACAGCTTTTGATGAAACACCTAGCACAAGCCAGTACCGACTTGAATAGAATCTGTATGTCCATGAGTATACACTAAGCCAAAAATTTTACTGAGTGGTTTTTAATTTTTTTCAGTGTATCCAGAAGAGAGCAAACGCTGCTACCGATGCGCAGCTGTCAAGGCTCGCGCGGAATCTTCTTGTTTGCATGGTGTTTGTTTGTGTGGTTCGTGCGTTTTCCTCAAAGACAACGTGTGCCGACAGTGCCCATGGCCAGGGAATTCCTTCAAAGCCATCAAGTAATTTATTTACGTAAGAGCATATGTTTTAAATTATAGTTGTTGTCAATCTGCCTATCGAAAACGTTAATCTGTTATTCATTATGCAGCTTTTAACGAGATTATAATTTTTAACGTTAGAGGTAGATACTTTTAAATGTGTTTGGTCGTAGGGTGTCGGCAGGCATCGCCAATAGGGTGCCTAAAAAAGTTTGCTAGGCCTATAGGCTCTTGGAGGGCCTTGCCACTTGCCTATTTTTTTTTTTTTTTTTTTTTTGCCATATGTGCTCTTTGATAGTTTTGCACTTATGTCTTTCCGGTGTAGTTCTTGGGTTGATTAATTATCCTGTAATATTCTGAGAGTCTGAAGGTGACCAGTGACTGACTCCTGTGTTGTCAATTTTCTAAGTAGACACACACAGTGTTAAAGTGAAAATTACTTATTAAAAGTGGCTTCTAACTACAAATACCATAAATTATTGATAATACGTGTCATGATTGAGTTTTTTATTTGTATGTTGTTTTTAGGGTTTTTAGCATTATATTACGAAAGTGGACAATTTTATGAAATCCAGCTTAAGTCTGCTTTACTTTTCGTCTTCGATTATCATCTTAAATCTGTCTATTTTGGCCCTAGCCTTAATTCACTGTAAGTTGAATAAAAATCAGGAAAAAGTTTTGATTGCCTTAAACTCACAGCCTGCATTATTTTGCTTATATAATTAGATTTGATGCATTAAAATAATTAAATTGAACTCATAAGCGTATTTAAAACAAGGTAACTTTGATTTGCAGCACCAATCATAATCAAATGCTACTGCTGTTCCTCAACTGTAGGCTGGAGCAAAGTAGCGGACGCAAGCTTAGATCCGGTCTCCATGCTCATGGTGGAAGCAAAGGTAAACACTAAATTCATTTAATAATTTATTACTTATCATATTCTTTGTTCATTTAGCTTTAGGCGCAGCCTGTCTCTACTGCTGATGCTGCTAATGGAGCAATTTTGCTTTCCTCTCTGCTCAACAGAAAAACACGAGTTGGACCTACCAGAGACTACAAAACGGTGTTTGAGTTTCTCGTCTACTTAATTGACTTGTACCGCAAGCAGAAGCTGAGTGCCATCGCTGACCAACAGCTGTTGCTGAAGCACTTAGCTCAAGCCAGTGATCAGTTGAGCAAAATTTGTATGTGCAAGAGTAATACAGATAACATGGAATGCAAAAATTTTGCGTTCAGTGTCGAGTGGCCAACACTTTGATTCAGTTTCCTTCTTTGAATAAATTATAGAAATTTCTTGAATTTTTGTGCGGTATAAAGTTTAATGCAGTGAATATTCAAGTTCATTAAAAATTTCAAAAGGTTTATTTTTAAATCATGTTTAAATTTCTGTCAAAAGGTTCCTTCTATTAAAGATAAAATTTGTGTTTAATTAACATTCGATATTTCATTCTTACAGCAATAGCAATCAAATACTTCCAGCTCTGCAAGAATTCGAATTTATTGTACTGTCTAACATAATTTTTTTTCTATTAAATTTAAATTTATATTGAAAAATAAAAATTTCAGGTGTCTTAATTAAGAACAAGTCTTACTGTTTTTTTTTTAACAAGTACATAACTAAAAAATTATATAACTCACATGGCAAATTCTCAACCCTTGACTCTCTTGAATAAAAACTTGTCCGGATCTCTGACTGTTGTGGAAAATATACTTTGATCAGTCCGGAGTCCGGATCTATTTTCGTCAGTCGTCATAGAAAACGCATTTCAGTTGCTAGCTTTCAGAATTCATAGTCTCTAGCCTCTATAACCAATTATAAACTATATCTGCTGACTTTAAAACTTTTCTCTAATTGTAAAATTAAAATTTTGTAATTTTTAAGTTAAAGTGGTTATCAATAGCAAATGTCAAATTCAAATCAGAATTTCATGACACTACTGATCCAATCATAATAAGTGGCAGACCAGACCAAGGAAAGCAATTTTTTCTGCAAAATAGATTTATGCACAAAAATAAATACATTGCTGGTTAAGATAAAAATGAATAATTAATCTGTTTCAACTATACATACAGTGGACAGTGGTGCAGTTAAAGCAAAACCTTTGATGTTATGTGTTAATAAAATGAATAAAATCATATTATAATATTATGGATATTATGATAGCATAATCGCTTATGTATGTTGAATAATTTCAAAAATTCCTGCTTAAAATAGTATTGTTTAGAGTTATTCCATTTTAATTGTAACTTTAAAAGTTAAACACAAAATTACCTTTTCCTAGACATTTCAGGTTTTAGGTTCAATTCCCTGATTGGAAAATATGAAGTCGTCGTGACTCGGCTTTGTGACTATGGCTTTGTACCATCGTACCTCGTTTTATTCCTTGAATTCTTCGCATCCCAGGGATCCTTGGTGAAAAGTGCGTACCTCTCTTGCTGTGGAACAGCCCGAGGATGGAAATAAGTTTAAAAATTGCAATTTGCAAAAGAAATCACAAAATCCGCTGGCCGACTGATCCATCAGATCCATGCTTGTTTGTTTACTTTCTTCATTGGTCATTTGGTCGCCCCGCCCCATTGGATCACGTGATAGTGGTCTTGGTGCTTAAACTGCTTAAGATTCGGCTGTTGTGTGATGTTGTTTTTCTGTTTTTATCGAAAATAGGAAGGATTATAAAAGTAAATATAAAAACGCTTGAGAAAAATCAAATTTTGAAAAGGAGCAATGGGTGACTTTTGGGATTGCGAATTTTACAAGCCTTTTCCACACAACTTAAAGAATGTCAACCCCGTGGAAGCGAAAGAGGCTCTGAAGAAAATGAAGTGAGTAATGAGAGATGAATTAAAAATGAAATCACATTTTATTTTAATTGCTAAACCTGAAATGGTTGACCATGACCGAATCAGCCGGCAAAAATTCGCAGGCCTGCTTTAGAATTGGTACAAATTCAGGTCCAGAAGCTAACAAGGAACCGTCAGCGTCAGATTCAAAAGTGCAGTACGAGCCGGAGTGGTTGGAAGAAGAGGAAGAACTTGAAAACATTTACCATATTGAAGAGGATACCAGCGGAAAGTTTAAATACAAATGCAGTCTTGATTTGCCTTGGTATGATTGATATTTTCTTACAAATTAAAATTTTTAATTTTATTTGAAAAAATATTTTTTATTTAGTAAGCTATTTGGGTTCATCATTGGACAAAGAGGGTCTGTCAAAATTGGAATTGAGCAAAGCACAAAAACGAAGATTTTTGTCCCTGGCAAGAGCAATGACGTCAATGGGACCATAGGTAAAAAAAATTATCCTTTATATTTAATTAGTGCTTTATTTTAATTCTTTGTGAAGTTATTGGAGGATATGCTGTTGATGACGTTCAATCTGCTTGCCGCAAAATATTCCACATTGTTGAGACCAACAGAAGTGCGGTGCGGCCAACTCATTTTGTAGGCATCGCGATTGCTTCTCCAGAAATCAAGAAATCGTTTGAAATTTTCAAGGTTAAGATTGATAAATTACTTATTTTAATGTATGATTTGAGCTTTGTGAAATCTCCAGAAAATTTCGCCTCTGAAAACCAACTTGATGCAAGCAACTGAAAAACTGCACATCACCCTTGGTATGTTGGTCCTCTTGAATGTGAGTGAGAGATCTGCAGCTGCAAGTATCATTGAAGATTTCGTTCATGAAAATTTGAGGTACTGAATGACTTTTATGGGCTATTGTTTTTATATTATTTTGAACATCAAATTTAGGCCAAATTATCCCAAATTTAAACTCCAAATCAAGGGCTTGGAAATCATGGGCGACGACCCCACATCAACGAGAGTGCTTTATGGTGACGTGGTCAAAGATGAAGTTCATGACGAGTTTCAGCAGCACTGCCAGGAGCTTCTCTCTCGGCTTGACAACGCTGGTTTGCAAAGATGGATTAAACATGTGATTAAAATTTAAGCTTTAACATAACATGACAGGCTTTTTGAGGAGAGATAAGTTCCAAGCAAATAGAGATGATGTCAAGCTTCACATGACTGTGGCAAATGCGACTTTTGCTGAGCGACAGTTCCCCCAGCAAAATTCTGCAGAAGCTCCCGACAAACTGAACTTTGCTTTTGACGTGTCTGACGTCTTATCTGTAAGAAAGCTTTTATTGCAGTGTGTGCTTAATTCTGAATTTTGTTTTTGGTAGAAACTTGGCAACTTTGAATTTGGAGAATGTGTCATCGAGTCATTGGATATTTGTGAAACTGGAACTTCAACTGAGGAAGATGGCTACATGAAGGTATCGCAACACTTCCTCGACCCCAAGAAAGCTTCCCCTGATACTTATATTTGCAAATAAATTAAATAAAGGATATTTTTGAATTATGTATTTAAATGTTTAAAAAAAAATTTAACATCCTTGATACTTTATATATAAGTAAAGTATATAAAATGTATAAATTTTATTCTAATTTAATTATTACCAAAAGAATTAAATGAGATCACCATTTTTGAGGAAAAAAGAAAACAAATTTGGCTCTATGTAACAGTTATAATTTATTTCTTGGCGAACAAAGGTTCAGAAAAATAATTTAACAGTACATCCATAAAGCGGCTAACAAGCAAAGGAATGTTGATTACAGGAACAAAACTACCAACAGTAACATTACAGCTTTACATTGATATGGTTACAACAAGATACATTGATTGAGTTATTGCCAATTTTAAGTACAATTAGTTTGGTTAAACACTTTGATAATACATGCAATAAATCTTTACTATCATAACTGAACTTTGGACTTCATGGCCCCTTTGAAGAGAAAAACTGGATATTAAATAAACACAAAAATTATCACAAAAAATCAGAGGGCCCGTGCACTTTCTGTTGCTTTTCATTGCTTCTTAGTAAGGAATTTGGTTTTGGTAATATTGAAGTATGTCGTATGTCTTCGTTCTGAAATTGAGGCATGATTTTGTGATGATCGAAATCATGTACGCTGCTGCCTCTCGTTCTGATGCATTTGGTTGGAAACGAGCCCTCAAGAGTTTGATTGTTTGTCCTCTAAAGCATGGCAATCCTGTGTCCAACATCAAGGAGACTAGTGAAATGATTGCTTCTTGGTAGGGCCTGCAGAAAAAAGGTGTAAATGTACAAGCAAAATTGTGTATATAAATTTTATAATTACCTGACTGCCAGATATGCTTTGACGCAGAGCTCAACGAACCACTTGAATGGCACGGCATCCATTTTTCCTCCCATGATCATCACCATCTCGTCAGTCAACTTGATATCTGGTTCAAATCCTAGGTTGCCTCCAGGAGAGCTCTCAAACATGAAGCCAAAATCTAGTAGTTTAAATAGTCATTTGAAGTGCATTTTTTTATTTATGAATTATTCTAACCAATGTGAATGATGTGGCCTTCGTTGTCTAACATAATGTTTCCATTGTGTCTGTCTTTTATTTGGAGCAAGAATCCAACTACGCTGTATGCAGCCATTGAAGTGATGAAATTTCTGCGTGCCGTCTGATAAAATTATTTAAATTAGCTTTATGTTGGCTGTTTAAAATACTGTTTTTTGTACCTGGAATTCCAGAGTGTTTTCACCGTACTTCTTAATGAAGTACTCATACATCCCAAAGTCTGTTTGTCTTCCAAGTTGATCCCTGGACTTGGCATTTGGAACACATTCGATGACGCCACACTGAAATTATAGCTATTTAAAATTAAATTAATTATTTGCATAGACTCTTACGCCAGGAGAAGTGGCAACAACTCTGTACGGGAACAAGTACAGATCCAATCCAACTTTTTGGAATATGTTCTTAAAAATTCCAATCACCTGCAGAGCCAACATGTCTTGACGCACATCATCACCAACCTTAAAATGAATTTTTTTCCATTAAAGGAATTTAAAAATGAATGTTATGAAAATACATACTTTGAAAATTGCAGCCTGCCAAGTTTCGTTAGCAATTGATGAGGGATTTGCATGCATGGCTCCATGTTTCGACACATTCATAGCTAGCTGCTCTAGTTCAGCAATTCCGCACCGACGGACTTTGAAGCGGGCCAAGAATGGTGCTTTTGCAGCACTAATTTTTTTTAAACAAAAATTATATTCTCTCACAAATATAATAAAAAAATTAATAATGCTTGCCTTTGCATAGGGGTGCCACTGTTGTAATCGATATCAAGCACCATAGCTTCTGGATTAGATGGCAGGTAGCATCCTGGTTGGACTTTGATTTTCCTCAAGCAGTCCAAACACGCCTGCTTACGTTCAGGGCCTTTCGGGAAGTGTCGAATTTCTCCGGAAACTCCAGTGATCTTAAAAAAAAATGTTCATTAGATCTAATTTATGAAATATTTTCACTTTTACTTTATCGAAGAAGTCAAATTCTCTTTCGTAGAATTGCTTTGCTGGTCCAGAGAGCGTCGAAACAATACACTTTGTCAGAGCTTCAAGCGTGTCATAAAGAGCGGCTGTAATGAAAATATTTAAAATAAACAAATTAAAAGTGTAATTTACTTTAAACTCACGATCTTTATTGTGGCCCTCTTCGTCAAGGTATTTGTTAGTGTTCATGTTCCAAATTACTTGATGCGCAACAACTTGCGACTTCTTTCCGATGTACTTAATGAACTCTGTAACATAGCCCATCTGCAAAATAGTTCCAAAATGAAAAACTGTCCATGATTAAACTTAAAACAACACAAACCGTGTCATGCCTGACTGCTTGAACAAGTTGCGGTATATAGAAAAGGACAGCGTCAGGTGGATAGCTGCTCAGCACCCTGACTGCATATTGTGCAGTGATCGGATGGGGAGGATATTGTCTAGAGAAGAATGCAAGTGCAGCCACAGGAGACACCCTTGCCCAGGTTAGTGTGTGCACCAGCTCGTAGGCGTCATTGATCAAAGACTCGGTGTTGACCAAATACTGCAGACCCTCGGAAATGTGAGCGACCAAGGCGGGCTTGAACCGCACCTGGCGACTGACTTCAGATATGACTGTTTCGTTCATCTTCAAACGTGAAGGAAGGAAAACGGCTAGGGCAGGACTGATGTCCCATGCTAGTCGAGCTGTCTCTGTCAAGCCTTTCATTGGCTTTGAGAGCCACGTCTGGATGTTGGCCTCTCCAGCAATTAACTGCTCTCCTGCTACAGGGTTGCGCCAAGTGGATAAGTTTTCAATTTCTATAGCCTGTTTAACCAAGAATTAGTCAGACACAAACATTTTTCATTAGAAACTTACTAAGAGATCGAGGATTAGGTTCCTTCTCTTGATATAGTCTTTCATTCCTGTTCCAGTCGGACCGGCTTGCTTGCTTCTTGTAGATCTTTTGGAAAGAGTGTTTGTTGAAGAAGAGAGCGGCACAGTGTTCATCCAGCCTGACACTGGCTTGGCTAAGTCACCAGACAAACTTCCCCTATCTCCTAATATTGATGGCACGAGACCTGATATTGACTGTGTATCTTGCTGCACAGTTGACAAAGAATTGCTCACAGCGGACAACAGCTATCCAAATTAAATCATCAGCACCAATTTTGTAAAAAAAAAACTTTTTACCTGGTCTCCACTGGAGCCTTTCAAGTACTTCTTCTCTGCATGCATATTGGTCCAAAATTTAATTACAACCGTCATATCTTCTTTTAAAGCTGCACCGTGTTGAATGGGGGTACCAGGCACACAGCAGAAGTAGTCCAAAGTCGTGCAGTAAATCCGCTCTCGAAGAATATTTTTGCTTAGACTTCCCTTAGGCAAACCGTCTCCTTGCAGCATTGATAAAGCACACAACAGCAATCTATTTTGAAAAGTACAATAAAAAAATGAGAGTGTTTAGATAGTTTGCGATTTACCTAAATCTGACTCCCACGGCAGCTATGTGCCTTGTCAAATGGCCGGTCTGTGCTCCTACTGTGAGTGGAAGTGACTGGTGCAGCACCATGGCCAGCATTTCAACTTGGTCTTGGCTGCAATATTTGGCCGTCTCAATCAACTCGGCCAAAAACTGCACCCAAATGTTATGTGGCTGCAGCAGAGGTGGGTCTGGCTCTAACAAACAGCCTTCGTAAGCAGCCAAGGGAACTACTCCCTCATCATCTTTTGAGAAAAGACCCAGTTTTTTCTCTAGAGTACTCTGGAGAATAAATATTGTTTTATTATTGTTTTTTTTTAAATATATACAGAAAAATTACAAACCTGCCAGGCAGCCAACATTTCTTGCAAGAAAGAGGCTTCAAGATCCACTCGAGCTGTCAACAGCCACCTCCAACAATCAACTGCAGTGAGCATGGCTTGTTCTGTAAAGAGCTCAACCTAATGGAATCAAGATTAATTTTAAATTGTATAAATTTACATGATTTTCATACTTGTGACCAAGCAACAGCATGCAAAAGAGGTCTGTAGACGCCCGGAGAGCAAATAAGCAGTGCCGTTGACCTCCAAAGGCAGGTCGCATGCTCAGAGTCACTCCTCTTCTTGCAAGCATCCCACAATTTGAAAACAAGGACGTCAGCTAGTCTCTCATAGGCTCCTCCTTCTCCATGATCTTGAAGACCGGCAACCAAACCTGCAACTTCACCAGCAGATCTGCTTCGTAGTGAGAGAGACGCCATCATTCGAGAGAGCTCAGCTCGGCCACTTGCAACGGTCCTCTCTTGTACCAGAGCGCCCTATTTTTCAGATAACAATTTAAAACGTTCATATTTTTTCATATTTCAACTTACAGTGGGTTGTTGGACTTGAGGGTGACTAGTGTATTTCATCATACATTCCGTGGCCAGAGCAACACCAGCCTGGGCATGTTGACCCGACGAGGATACAGTGCCTTTTATGTTTCTTGAAGGGGCCAGGTTAAGATAGTCTTGAAGGTGAGATCGCGTAACATGTGGTGCCCATCGAAGAGCCTCTTGCAAGACTCCATTACAACGCTCAGCAAAGTCTTCGACAATGCTCTGTACATTTCACATTAAAATAAAACAAGATGAAAAATGCAAACACTTACAACTCGTCCTTCCTGAGTATCTACAAGCTTGATTTTGTAGGGAGTGTTGGGCACATCAACGTAAGACGGTGCGTCTGGCTGGTTCGGGTCCAGCACCAAAGCCGAAGCCAAAACAGTCAAAGTGTCTAGCATGCTCCACAAAATGTGGCAGTTCCACAACAAATGGGGGAATCGGTCAACAAGACCAGACAGGAATTTATCAGCCACTCTCCGGATTTGTTTCAAAGGATGATTAAAGTTGACTAGGAGCAACTGGGCATGGCGTTCCAACTCCTGTTCCCTGGCTTCATCGTGGGGTTTCTCTGACATGACGTCCAGCAGAGCAGCAAAAACTCTATCAGCGACACTGTTGATGCAGTGCCACATTCCTCCCTTGTCTTGCAGAATGGCAGAGTCGTTCAGATATTCCAAAATGGTTTCCAATGACGGCTGAGAAGAATTTTTTACCCTAAGGGTCTCCAGCCAGTACACGGACAAAAGGTATGTGCACTCGGGAAAAGGGAACTTGTTGATGTACGGGGTCACGTCTTGTGGGTGCTCAAGAAGGCTAAGCACCTGCAGCTTTAGTTCTTGAAGCTCATTCTGTAAAATGACTTTTCAGTTTAGACAATCAAGGGATGACATTAGTTAAACTCACCACTGAGACACTGTCAGTTCGTACGGCCGAGGTGTACTGCATTCCGCGCATTTCTGATCTAGACGAAGTCTGCGACACCAGCTGCGGTGATTTAACTGAAATCTCCTTTACTCCATCATACCACTCAGACGGCCAGAGACCTAAGAAGTATTTATGATTTCAGAGTTTTAGCATCTCTACTCAAATTTTACCAGAATCAGCAGCTGTGAAACCCATGAGAACACAGTAGAGCCAGAAGTCTTTGAAAAGCTTCAACAAGCGTGGCTTCGGCTGCCGAATAGGCTGCAGACGCCGGACTAATACAGCTATTACAGGAATCAGCATCCCCAAATTTCCAGCGCTACTTGAAGCCTATGTTCATTTTAGTTTTAATTTTTTAAATTTTAAATGCAAAGCTTAATTTACTTTAAGAGCACCGGGCGCTTTTTCCGAAGCTCTTTTTCCCTCCAGACCTAGCTGCACAAACAACTCCAACAATCTCACGAGCAATTCATGCATTTCAGCGTCTCCTTGCAGGCTGGCAGCAATATTGGCCAGAACATTCACTACTGCCCCAGAAACGTGCCTTTAAATTTATAAATTAATAACTTAAGAGAAAATTTATTTGGAACTCACTTGTATTGAATTTTCCGTTCCTCTCCAGAGGCTGCGTAAGAAGTGCTACTTGCTTCGATTGTCACCATGGTGAACATTTTCATTATTTCTTCGTAAATAGCAGGCTGTAAAGGAAAAAAATTAATATTCAATAATTCATTGATTGCAAAGAAATAATCACTTCGCATTTGGCAATTATCATGCAGCCAAGTTGGTCCACAATCAGAACATCCAAGTTCGATGGCGTTCGACAAAATCTTTGCTGGAAGAATTGCAAAATGGTTTCCGTTGTCTTCGGGGTGTCTTTCAGAGCTACAGCCACATGCCCCAGCATTGTGACTATATTGGTGCTGATTAGGGTTGACTCACTAAGTAAACATAATTTCTTCAGAAAAATTCAAATTTAAACAAAAAAATGACAGACTTGTCGGATTTTTCAGCAGTAAAGAGGCGGTTCGAGACAGACGCCACCAGGGCTTTGACGCAGTTAATGTCAACCACAATGGAGGCTTGAAGGGCTATGCAGAGGTTCTCAATGGCAACATCTCGCAGCTGCTCATACGCAACTTGCGTGGCTGTGTGGTGAGCCAGATTCTTTCCGTCCACTGTACACACATATACTGAAAACGTACAGCACGTGGCGCGAGGAAAAAATTAAAATCTCGTCTCCTGATCTCTGATAATGAAGTGAATGTGATTTACAAATAGAAGCAGGAGAGCTGAGTCGCATTAGCCACGAACAGTACAAGCATTGCAAGAGATATCACTCTGATGGATGCTTTGGGAACGATTCCAAGAACCAGAAAAGATTAATGAAAGCATGTAGAATTAGGTTAATTAAGGCCATCTCCATGTCCACATGTAAGCCTCCCAAGCACGAAAAATTATTGTCAGCCGGGATCAGCAGCAATAAAAAATCATTTAAAAAAAGATACAAATGTACAAAACGTTTTGACAAAATATTTTAAAATATTTTTAAGTCAAAAATGAGTAGAGAAATTGAGCAAAACTATAGTTATGCCAATTAATAAAGCGAAAAGTGGAAATTAATGAGCAGGTGAAGAAACTTACGCGAAACGTTGAATTTCTTGGCACAGATGAGTGTTTGGTGCTGCAGACGTAACTTTGAGAGAATTGGTGATGGCGTGACTAAAAATTCTCTCAGGCAACTGATGCAAGTGCTTGCAATGCTTGGGAATCGTTGTGCTAGCTTGCCAAGTCCCTGTGACAAAAAATACAGTTGAAAATGATTTACTTGAATTTAAATAAATTGTTTTGTCCAATGTATACCTCAAGGCAAACCATAAGCAAGGGCATGTGGGCGAGCAGAACCTTGTAGTTTTGGTTCAGATTTATTTTCTCTGTCAACCGACCACACAGGCTGTCAGCCTCTGCAGAATTCATAAATTAAAATTAAAAATGATAACTGTTGTACATAAGAAATTTAACCTTGTTCATTTGCAACTGCCCAAACCAAAAGTTCGACACAAGCAGAATTAGCCATGACGTTCACTTTGAAGGTATTTACGACAGGCGCAGAGTCGGCAGGATTCTCCTTAGAGGTGGCATCGTGTTGTCGATTTTGCAGCTCGGTTTGACCAGACAAAAACAATTCCTTCACAAACTCTTGCACATCCTTTGTGAACGGCACAGGAAGATCTGAAATGGATTTAATTGAATATTTGCTCCATGCAGAAAAGGAGAACTCACAAGGTATTAGATAATTTTCTAAGAATTTTTCGATTTTTAAATTAAATATTAATGTTTCAAATAAATTAAAATTATTCACCATTTTGTGGCTTTAACAGCTCCCTAAGTAAAGTAACAATAGCCAGGGTCAGTGCCTGACTGACACTTTTGTAAGGAAAAACTTTTGCATGCCCAGCCAGGTAGACTTCGGACGCTTGCTCGTCAATGAAAGCGAGGATGTCTTTGGTGAGGATCTTTTTGGCAAGAGCAAGTACACTCTATATCAACAAAAATTAAGTATTAAATAAAATTTCTACAGCATTTGTTTCCAAACCTGAAGGTGAATGATAGAGAAGTAGTTCGTTGAAGTTGGCAGTTGAGTAAAACTAGATCCAATTTTGGTAAAGAAATACAAAGTGGGATCAAAGTTTGAGTCTGTTTTGGTCAGAGAGGAGAACTTCGAAAACCTATTATATTTAAGGAAAATTGAGAATGAACTGCTTCTGATGAAATTATTGTCTTACGAAGAGTCTGGAATGTCTTGGTTTTCCTGAGCCAGCATGTTTCCTGAGAGAGATCTAGGAATAATAGTTCGGAACTGGGCAAAGTTTCTCGTCTTGCTACAGTTAATCTCGTTGTCGGGCTTTTGCTTCTGTTCCGGAGGCAAAGGTGGAGTCGGAGGAAAGATTTTAGAAATAAGGGGTGTTTCATTCGGGTTGCCGAAACGACCCATAGCTCTTGCCATTCCCATCAAAACTGGAATTGTGGCTTTGCACAAAGTCACTGCAAGAATAATTTTTAAATTGAATCATTTCATTCATTTCTTTTAATTACATCTGGCAGTGGATCCTCGAGGGCTACGCTGATCTTTGTGGGAGCGACTGAGGTTAACCAAAACCCCGAAGAAGTCAATTTGAGTGCTGATGATTTCGGTTCTTGCGTCTTCATCTCTCGAAGCAATGTCACTCAAAATGGTATTCAGCAAGAAACTAAACCTCTCAGTGGCAGGAATTTCTAAAAATAATAGCATACATAAGTAAACAATTGTTACAGCAAAATATTTGTATTACTTTCTGATCTAACGTATTTGACTTCATCAAGCCAAATTGCCTTCGCCAGTGCTTTGAGGAGCTTCAGCAAGTAGGGCAAGATCTTGTCCTTGTGTTGGAGGTTTGACTCTAGGAAATAGACCCCTAGGGCGATGGCCGCGTCTTGACCTCTCTGGTCGATCCTGTAAACGCCCTGCTGCGTTTCTTGAGGGCATAGCTGGAATAACCTTTTGACCTGTAAGATGACAACAAAGTTAAATAAAAAGGGGCGTTCACTTTTCTCAGCACTTCTTCAGTCAATTAAATTCTAATTTCCGTTCGATTTCGAAAAATTCGCTGTCAAAAATTGAAAGCAGTTTTACCTTTTCCCACGGCGAGGGTTGGATGGCTGCAAGGGACCTCGCCAGGTGCAGAACGGACTTTCGGAAAAATGACTTTCGGTCGATCAAGTAGGACATCTTCAAGGCTTTTCACCTCAGTTCAGTCGAAACATGTCCGAAGCGGCGGAAGATTTCACGCGTCGGCAATCGGCGCGTCGGTTCGGGCGATAATTCGGACTCACAGTGACCGCATCACGGAAGAATTGCTGAAAGAATCAGCCTTTGACACTCGCGAAAAGTGATCACAATAAATTTCTGTCTCCGACCGTGTCAAAGTGGGAGTGCGGGAGTGATAAACAGATGTGCGGATGGTATCGCCACTTGCGCCGTAGTGGCGGAAATCGGCACTAATTGCCACTTACCTGAACTGTCAGAATCGTGCGCCTGCTATGTTGCAGTATAGGCAGCCTGCGCAGCATAAGATTGCCCTTATATATATGATTATTCATTCAAAATTACCAATAATTTGCTTGTTTCAATTTGGATAAAATATTACCAAACTTCAAATTTCTCTTCATTTTTTCAAGAAAATTTGTTAATTAAAAAATAAAATATTAAAAATTTTAAGGACTGTTTAAACTGTTTTGCAATCAGGTTCAAGATTTTGTATTTTAATCGACAGATAATAAAACAAAAATATTATAATGAATGCACTAATTATGAATACTGAATATTTGAGAAAATATAGTGAAAATACCAAAATTGAAAAAAAACCACCGTTCAAAATTTTGTTTCCTGTGTTGTGAGCTGCAACGTGCCTGTTTCAGCACGGGCGGTCAGGAAATTTGGGAAATTTCGCCAAACTCACTCGCTGCGTGTGTGGCTCTTTTTGGCTGCCAAAATGCACCGCGTTTTATCATTCTCGACAAGTATAGAGAGAACGCGGCGGTACGTGTGCGTTGTGTGTTCGCAATTGCAGAGGACCTTTATTTTTTACGACACTCAGCGGAGAGACCATTTTTCTCGTGCCTCGGCGAAGCTAGAAGTACTGCTGGCATATCGCAGTAATGACGGTGTTTGTAAATATCATTTCCAAGTAATTCAGAGGTCGGCGGCGATTCAGAATGTATATATGTGAGAGCGCGCGGGCGGTTTTCCAAGAGTGCTCTGGCCGACGCACCCTGTGGTGGTGGCGGTCGAGTACGTGTAAGCACTGCTCAAATACGGCGCACACCCGGCGTTCCGCAACATAAACGTGCACACTGCAATTTACGTATATTTATACACAAGTAAAGAGAGGGTATATGTCCCGTCGAGAAATGTAAATATATGTGTTGGCACTTTGGCGCGGCGTGTGTGGTAGTTTTGCCTTGTTTTATGCAGCGGCCGGTGCGAGAATTCAAATTAATTTTACGCCTCATATTGCGAAACTTAAATTGCGCGTCGTGCTAGTGGCGAATCGACACGTGCATTCCATTCCTGGAACTGACCTCTGGGTGAAACGGAATTCTTTTTGTTCAAATACTTGAGAAACATATGAAACATACCATCAAGTGAACAACACAACGATGTAATTCATTATAATATTGCATACCTTTGTGCAGGTGTTTTGCATGCAACCGACACGACGAAATTTAATGAAATACCTCTGTTCTGCTAAAATTATTTATCGAATTTTCTCGCAATTTTGCATAGTAACATTTGTATACCACAAAAATGAATCGCGCAGATATTGAGGAATTAAATAATATAAATTTTAAAGATAAACACGCTTGGCAGCGCTCAAGATATTATTATTTTGAATAAAACCGCAGTTATAAGAAAAATCCCTGAAACTGACTCGGCCACAACTGGCGATTTCCATCTATTGTCTTCCTAGATTGTGGATAAATCTGTAAAGTCATCTGCCAATAAAGGGAGAATTAATTTCATACTTTTGAGTTTTGATGCGCATCGTAAATTATCTTGTTTTGATATTGAAAATAAATTAAGGATATTGTTTGATTTTAATGTGATGGATGTGAATTTTCAAATAAAATTAATTACCATGAATTAATTGTTAAAATATTTTCCGCCAATTGACCTTCACATGGAAAAGATTAATCCAACGAAGACGCAAAAAAGCACGCAACTGCAGACTGCATTATGTGTGAAATCGCGCCAACGGCAGCTAAATTCAATTCTTGGTAATGGTAGACAACTAAACGAAAAATACTATGAATTACAATTTATTATTTAACTTAATTAAAATCAAAAGCAGACTAAGGTTTTAAGTTAAAAAATGTTTAAAAATATTATGGTCATCGGAAATTGACTTTATTGTCTTTATTTTAAATTTTGTAATTAAAGATTTAGAGAGAGCAAAATGTTTTGGTTGGTACACAGTATTTTTCCCGAAGAACTGTTGACAGATGACAACCACGAAACCACATTCCACCTGTGTTGTGTTGTGTATATACAGACTGTATTGTGCTTTTTGACTAGACTTTTGATATTGTTCCTGTGATATTTTCGACATGATTTCACAAATTGCTCTTAGCGAGGACGCTCTTCGGTTCTGCGGAGGCCCAAAAGTAATGGCGGCCGGGCGAAAACGGTTCCAAGCCGGCGACAAAAATCGCACATGATTGAGGTATGCATGTACATAAAGTCATAAAATACATATTGTGTAATACTTGATTTTTTAATTAAAAAAGTTTGTATTTATTTCATATTCAAATTTATTTTCCAGCAAGAAAATCTTCCTTGGAAATTGAAATGCGTTGGTTTTGGAGAATAAGTAATAAAAACAGCAGGCCATGCTTCACTACAAATTCAACAAAATTCTCTTCCTTTTGATAGTCATGGGTAAGTCAGTTATTTTGTGTACTTTTACATGAGTAATTAAGGAGGAATTAGCACCCTGGTGTAGTCATTGGCGTCACCTCTCACCCAAGGACACACATGCCGAGGCTGAAGAATTCGATTGAAAAGTTGAAGGTATGTAAGATCAAAAATTTTCTCTTCATCCAGCTAAAACAGCGCTTCTTTAATTCTTAAATACTCCTTTTTTTTTCAAAAAAAAAAGTTGACACTCGAGGAGATGATCATAGAAATGAAGAAGCTTTTGCACTCCTCTTTTGTCTCGTGCAAAATTGCAAATGCAAATCGCTATTGCAGAAATTTGCACTTTCTTCTTAATTGAATTGAAAATCTATTGAATCTGTAAAAAATTATAGATGCCAATCACCATATTAATAAACTTTTATTAATTATTTCAGTGGATGGCAGTAACCGAAGCCCATGCAGAACCAAGATTTAGCCCTGGCGCCAGAGGGTTTTTTAAGAAAGACAGGCAAACCCATCTCATATCATCAGCTGGAGAGATTTTCGCCGTGGCCAAGACCAGCCAGCGCATGACCTTCTCTCAGGTAGGATTTTTACATAATTCTCTTTTTATTAAACTGACCAAGTAATTAAAGGGGTTTTGCGCCACTGACGCCCCATACAATTTTTGATTCGTACCGCACTTTAAAAATTCCATTCAGGACCCCTTCTGTCTTGCAGGCCAAGTTTCGAATTGGAAACGTTCACAGTGAGGGATTAGCTGTACATATGTTTTAATGAAAAACTAAATTTCACTTGTATAATATTGATTTTTGAACATCAGATTTTTTTACAATTTTAAGGGTGTAGGAAAAATTTAAAAAATTGTGACCTGGATTTAAAGGATCTAAACTGAATATTATTTTAATAATAATAATGTTTTGTCAGAAGATAAAGGCTTCAGAACCTTCAATAGGTACTTATTTTTTAATTTTTTAGTAATTTTTCTTGATTCCAAAATAAGAGTCTGACACAGAAATTGATTGGATGAACTATGATTTGCTCCAAAATCATAGTAAATGTCGATTAAGCGGTGGTAATTTTTTGGGTATTTTTTCTAATATGGAAATTTCGCTTTTGCTATTTAAAAAATGAAGCACTTTGACCAAAATTGGTAAATATAGTTCAAAAGTTAACGTTCTCGAACTGGCTTAAAGAAAAAGTAGAGTTAAAACTTTGCCATTTAAAATCTTCCAAAGTCGTTTTGGGTCTTTGGACATGCATAATTAAGGTCGGAAATGGCACCAGCAACTAGAGACAAAGTGTCCGGAGAATCATCGGAAGTGGAGCGCAGGAGTGTGAGTGGCGCTGGCAGGCCTCGTCGCGCGCGCTCGCTCCTCTCGCTCGCGCCTTCAGTCCACCTCGAGCAGTCAAAGGCGAAGCTGGAAGCAGGACGCACGCCCGGCGCCGCGCAGCCCTCAATTATTCACACCCTCTGCTGTTGTCTGAGTGACGGCCGGCTCGTTATTTGTGACTGACAGTGACTGTTTCCCGTGCTAATCACAGAGACCGTGTTTTTGATCGAGACTGCTGTGACCCTCGCGAGGCGCCGTCGATTTTTCAGCGGCTTTTTGCGCCGAGTTTTCCGTTCGACGGCAGCCGTCGGTGCCATACGCGCCGCCACCGCGCTCATCTCTCCTTTGGGAGGTAAGAAAAATGTTTGCAAAAACTTCTTCCGTCTTTTCGCGTCGTCACTTTTTCGTTTCATCTCCGCGCTGAGAGAGGGAGAAATTTATTGCAGCCGAGTTTTTTACTTTGCGGTTTTTGCAAAAAGTTTCTTCTTCCATTAGCATACTGTGAGCAGTAGTTGAAATTTCCGAATATTTTTCTTCCAAAATAATTGTATATCATAATTGAAAAGATTCTTTATGTTGGCCATTTTAATCAATCTGAAGTTATTGGGATTTTTACTGGAAAAACAGATTATTATAATAATTAACTCAAATTCGCCTCTCTGGCCTGAAACAAAGCGAGAGTGAACTTAAAAATAAAAAAATGGTCATTTTTATTAATTATTGATTCAACTTATTACTTTTATGATCTATAAATTTTCTATTTAGGCTTGAAAATTTTACTGAGGAATAGAAATTAATGAACGTTTGGTTTATAATTACAAATTTTTATTTTAAGCCTTCTGACCTCGTTCATTTACTCTGCACTATTCTCATTATTAAAATCACACCAAAAGTGTAGATGAGCATATTAAAATCCCGCGGATGACGGATGAATGCGGAATGTCACAATATAAGCGAGATATGTGCAATATTACGGAGTAGAATTCTGTACAAAACAGAAGTGGCGCAGCGCAAAATTAATAAAAATATGCAGCAGCGAACAGCGCGATTCGTGTAATAACTGAATTTCATCGGCCGCTCTCTGCTGATTAATTTGAATTTCCGGCGCGCGCCGTGCAACTGACTGCATCCTACAATGCAATCTGGGCTAATGTGCATATAATTAATTTCAGCAATGACGTTATTATTTGCTCTGCTGTAGCGGCTGCATTGATCTATCAGCAAATTTCAATTTGCAATGCAAATTTTACGAGGGCTGCAGTTCGCACAAATGGGCTCACATTTATCAAGACGCGCATTATCTCTAGAAGCTAATTTCGGCCCTATAGAGACGTAATAAGATTGAAGTGAAAAAAAATATCTTTTATAATATAATTAGAAATGAACGCTAATTATCTTTAAAAAGCTCAATTCACAAAAGAATTTTTAATTCTCCCTCTGATATCTATAACCAATATTTTAAATTGATCAGATTAGCAGATTTTAATAACAAATGGATGATTTTTTCAAGGAAAATTTATGTAGTGTTCCTCTAACAAAATCAATATGAAAATTACATTTTAATAGTGTCTGAGAATTGCCATTTTACCCCTCTTATGCACGGAGGTCGCTCTCGTGCAAATAATTATGTCATTCAGCTTGTAAGTGCTTTCTTTCTCTAGTCGATGTTTCTCCTTTTTATTTTCTCAAAACACACAGTCAGCTAAACCCTGGCGCCTCGCGCGATCGGCCCGAGTGTTGTTCAAAGGAAGTACAAATTGCGGCTTAATTCTCTTGGTCGGTGTTGGCATCTGCCCACGCGTCGGTGTTATTTTTTCTTCCACGGCCGCAGCACGCGAACAACTAATCGCAGCTGCGGTGCTGGAAAAATACACACATACCATAGGCAGGGATGTGAAAAAATGGTGTCTTGAGGAAAGAATAAGTATTATACATATATAAAAAATGTATAGTCGCACGCAAAGTGTTACTTGGTGTTTTATTAACACGTGACGTCAGTCACAGATGGAATATAATGTGGGAAAAAAGCGCGTTTTGGTTCAGAATGGGTAAAAATTGGTGGGTGTTTTAGCACGAACAAAAAATTCAAACAGTGATAATAATATAGAAGAGAGGATAGAAATGAGAGCTTGTATCAGATAAAGACAAAATGTGTGGTTATCTCAAAACCAATCTTGATTATTTTTAAGCAATAATTAATTTGATTAAATATTAAAAGGTCAATTTTTAATTAATATTGGATAAAACCTGATGAAATGGTTAATAATTTTGGTAAATTTAAACAGAATAAGTGTTTTTGGTTATTTCACTAAATTTTGGCGCGGCGTATGAAATTTATTCATTGTTAATCGCCACACGTGGAATATGCCAAAGTGCTTTTAACCAAAATATATGAAACGTTCCAAAATTCACGTATATATTATTTGCCACGGGCACGTTAATTAAGCCAGACCAATTTACGTCCATTTAGATAACGCATCGGCAAAACAAATTGGCAATTGTTGCTGTAGCTTAATTACAACGCAGCCCAAAATTCCGCGCAAAACGTTCGATACATATTCTCGTGGCACAAAGAAGGGCTGCGGAAATTTATTGCTCGTAAGGCCAGCCAGCAACTTTCCCTCGGCGGCGTGTTATCACCTCCTTTCGGCCCGGTGGCCTCAAAATATTTTTTTTATCAAGACGCATGCATGCTAAAATGAACAAAATCTTGACACGGAAGGGAAAAAAAGCGCAGCAGCAGCAGCCCATTAGGCGCGCGCGCATTATGTACCCTTTCGCGCAACAACATTCACCAGAGAGGCTCAATAACAATAAAAGTAGCTCTAGAGAAAAGCAGTATTATGCAACCCGCAGTTGCTGCGCTGCAAGATTTATCGTTCAATTAGAGGATTGATCATTGCTTTAATGGGTATTAATTGCGAGAGACGAGTCTGCGAGTGGCTGGAATCCGAGCGAAGAAGGCTTATTATTGTCAGAGTGGCTCGTTTCGGAGTTGCGGTTCCGCCTATATCGGAATTATACCTGAATTTTACTGCTAATTTGTTTCCAGCTGATTAATTTTGGGCCGAATTTGCACGGAGCCGTTTCGAAGGCGGCAATTAAGTGGCCGTGCGCTCGTTTTATCGCATCGCATGCCACGGCGTGGGAGCGTTTAAGTGTGGTCAAGGGAGAAAATGTTTATTGATTGCTACCTACAAAGAGCTCCGAGCGAGCGACGCACTCTATTACGGCGAGAGCAGATTTCGCGATTAAACAGCGCCGATAAATAATTTATGTACGCCGGATTGTGTGGGAAGAAATTGCTGCAAAATTTTTCACGGAAAACCATTCATAGAACTGGTATATTGCGTGCTAAACTTAACAAAATGTATGCAAGGAAAGATAAGCTTGCTTTGATATTTATTTTAGGAAGATGGTTTTGTTAAAAACCCGCGTATGAGGAAATTTTCACAAAATCAGTCAAACGATAGGATAATATAAAATTTGAATGAATATGATATATCTTTATAAATGAGAGCTCTAAAAACATTTGGATACTTTTGAGTTAAAATAGCACAATAGGTTTTTTTTTATAGTAATTTCACGGCCAAGGGCTGATTTACAAATTTTGAATTAAAATAATTTAAAGTCAGGCTTGCCGCTTTTATTTGTATTTGAAAAGATCCACAAGAAATAAAATTTGTTTGAAGAAATTGACAGTCAATGAGATGACCATGGATTTTCCTCGTTGCAAAAATAGTTTTTATTCAAAAAGAAAACGGCTCTACAAGTTTTGGTAGACCAATACAAAAACCGACTTAAATGCAAGCTTTCCTTTGAAAATTCATTTGATGGTAAAAACGCAGTTCTCTAGACTTCAATCCAAAATTAACCCAAATTAGAACTGTAGCACGAAAACGTTTGTGGAACGTTTTGTCTTTTTTCTTTCCGACGAGCACAAATTTGTCAAAAATTTCGTTTTTGAGGTATCATCGTGGCATCATTGGTCTTCCTTACAACAAAAGAAACTGATGAAATTCATAAAAGACCAAAATTTAATAATCTCTGCGCTCCTGATGCTGTAACGAGAACAAAAAATTTTGGTGAGCTCTGTGCTCTCTACGTTGTGTATTTATGTTGCCGGCGACTCTATAGGCAGCCGTAGAGATGCCGGGTATTTCAAAAAGATCAAAGATGAAAGGGCGGCACATTTCATTACATCAACAAGGCGGGCCAGAGGAGATTATTTGCAAAGGTCATTAAAACGA